TAATAGTAATTAGCGCACTACTCTTTTTACTTTTATTTTTAAAGGGTGGTTCTACTGTATATACAAGAATCTCTTCCCTGGCCAAAACCTAGTCCTGTTTACTAGTAGACCTAAACTTCTTACTTCTTTTATATATATGGACGAGGGACGTTGTATATTTCGTTCCTTTTTAAAAGATAATATAGAATTTATCTGTGGTAGGATATTTATATATTAAATCCAGATATATCGGCCCTTGTACGTCTATACTCTATTTATATAGTCTTGTGGATATTAATTAACTGTATCTTATATATATTATTGCCGTATATAAGGTAGACTAGTGTTTTTTGATTGTTACCAGGTATTAGGCGCTTTCGGCGGAGCTTGTGTTAATTGTAAATAGTTTGATAAAGCTAGTTAGTACTCTGTACGGGATGAGCTATGGTAGGATATTAGAGGTTTAAGAGAAGTGTTTTAAATAGGGGGTGGAGGCCGGTGTATAAGGAGATTTGGTTTTTTTTAGAATAATTTAATTAATATAGATGCTGAGATTATTGATTTAGATATATTAATTAATTTGGATCTTAAAGAAGATAAACTATCCTTGAATTTAATTAACTTGGATTTGGACGAGGAAGAATAGCCCGAAATTGAATAGGTATGTATAAATTTTATTAGTTTGCTTTACTTTCTTTTTAATATAATATTATTAGTATTAGTATCTGCTCCTCTAGTTATATAGGGTTTGTGTATAGTATTTAAGCAAGACTTATATCTCTATATGGTACTTAGGATTAATAGTTAAATTGGTGGTAAAATTAAGTAAATTAAATTATTATTAGTTCTACCGGCAGAAATTGATAAGACCTGTTGTTGTGGAGTGGCCGCTATGATCCTCCGTAGCCGACTTGGCAGTGAAGGCCACAGAGTTGATTCGTTTTGATCACAGTACAAGAGGCTGCACCCTGGGGGACGCTTGGACGCCACCCTGGTCGGTCGATCAACGATACGTGGAATAATCCCTTTTAACCGGCCCTGGCTAAATCCAAGTAATATATGCAGCCTTGGCCTCATTTAGACTTCGTATGTTGGAATCTGACAACGGAGGAAAAGGAATGGTCGCGATGGACATCGACCCAATCGCGGGACCCATGGGAGAGATGGCGTGGTTTTTAGCGTCCGGCGGGTCGTCCCCGGATTTTCTCCACGCCGTCTATTCGCTATGTTTACCCGCCAGTCACTGCATCAGGTTGTGTCTCCATGTCCAGGCTCTCCCTTAGGCTTGATCCTTAAAACAGACAAGCCTCGCTTACGAGACGGGCTAATACTTGTTTTGATATATTAAGACAATGCCGTCTCTCTCTCTGCCCCGCTGGCCTCATCTTTACTCCTCCGATATCTGGCTTGTCCTTTCACTGCCTCGCCCCTCATTCCCTGGCCTGAACTGATCGGCTCATCGCCTGCCAAAGGTGATATTGCTACTGCTCCAGCGTCATCAACATGGGTCGCGGCTTTACTATCGGCCTGGCTGCCTTTGCGGCCACAGGGTCGTTCCTCTTCGGATATGACAGCGGTGTCATGACCGATGTGATCGAGTCGAAGAACTTCCTTGCCTTTTTCAACACCGTCCAGACTTCCCCAATCATCGGGGCGATCAATAGCACATTTTCTGGTGGAGGTGTGAATATCTACCTTGGATTCCCTACAAGCAACATGCCTTCGGAGAGAGTAAGAAGGAAACGCTGACTAGTCAACCCGTAGCTGCCTTCGGCGCCCTCCAGGGAGGACTGACGATGGATCGCTTCGGCCGTAAATTCACCATTCAAATGGGTGCTTTCATATGTCTGGTTGGTGCTATCCTTCAGACCGCTGCCCAGAACTTGGCTATGATGCTTGTTGGCCGTATTCTGGCGGGGTGGGCTGTCGGTCTCTTGTCGATGTCGGTTCCAGTTTATCAGGCCGAATGCGCTCATCCTCGAAGCCGAGGATTTATCATCGGCTTGTCACAGCAAATGATCGGGATTGGCTTTATCGTCAGCACGTATGTTTCCCTTGCGCATTTCACTCGTAGTGTCCTTGTTCCTAGGTGGAGGTCTAACTTGCATGCTTCGATAGATGGGTCGGGTTTGGATCGCTTCATGCTCCAGAAACCAGCGAGTTCCAATGGCGGTTTCCGCTGGCATTCCAGGCGGTTCCTTGCGTACTTCTGGCGGTGGGAATGTTCTTCATGCCGGAATCCCCTCGATACTTGGTGGAAAAGGAACGCTACGAAGAGGGAATGAAGATTCTGCGGAAATTACACTATGACGGCACAAACGACGAATGGATTCAGACAGAATTCAATGAAATCCGAACGACCATTGAAGCCGAGAAGGCTGTAACGGTGTCGGGCTGGCTTGTCATGTTCCAGGTTCCCCAGTGGCGGACTCGGTTGCTGTATGTGAAACAGACTCAGACCTGAACCCCCTCCCCTCTGCAAGATGGCCGTTACTGATAACAGTTGTTCGCACTACGATAGTCATGGGATCGCCGTCCAGGCCTTCGCGCAAATGACCGCTGTCAACGTGATCGGCTACTACCAAACCATCCTATACAATTCCCTCGGCATCACCGGAAGCCGCAACATCCTCGTCGCCGGTATCTACAACTGCGTTGGTCCAGTTTGCAACCTCATTTTCATTGTTTTCCTGCTCGACAAAGTGGGGCGGCGAAAGCCCATGCTGTTCGGCTCAATCGCTGTCACCATCGTCCTGATCTGCGAAGCCGCCCTGACGTCGGTCAACGAAGACGGGTCCCGGACGGGTTACAGCATCGCCGGCGTGTTTTTCATTTTCTGCATCACTGTGATTTTCTCCTTCTCTTATGGATCATGCGCCTGGTACGTTTCATCTCTTATCTTTCAAACTATATGGTCACCCCCCACTGCTTTGGGAAAAATTTGGGGACAGCCGGACTAAACAACAATTCTCTGTAGGGTCTACATGGCCGAAGTCATGCCGATGCAGATCCGCGGTCGAGGAAACGCCGTCGCAACCAGTCTGGGCAACTGGGTGGTGAGCACGATCTGGAACCAAGTTTCGCCGATTGCTTTCGGCAAGATTCACTGGAGGTTCTACCTGGTCTTCATTTTGTTCAGTAAGTGTTCGTTTTTCTGATAAAGTATCGCGGACAGAGAAGCGGGAACAGGTACTCACATTCTTTATCACCACTAGATGTCTGTATCACTATCCCGACAGTGTTTTTCTTCTTCAAGGAGACCAAGCAGAAATCCCTGGAAGAGATCGATCTCCTGTTCGGTGGACGGGCGTTGGGGACATTGCCGGAGAATGTGGAAATGAAAGCCGCCGAAGCCGACGAAGCCGACCCCAATAAAGCGGAGGAAACTGGAGTCTCGTATGCGAATGTGGAGCATACGGATAATAAAGTATGATGTACTTTACTTTTCCACGGCATGATGTCGGGTTTTGTGTGTGCAGATCAAATGAAGAGTGGACCATGCGAGATGTCGTCATGGCACATCTTTTCATCTCCACCTATTTTGATAGTGTAGAATCCGCATCGTTCACACCCTCAGCTTTACCACCTGACCTTGGAATGCAAGCTCCAAGCCGAGGAGGAGGAGAGAGTAAAGTAAATACCGCAGCAAGGTGGGCCGTATTCCTCTTTCAGCACGCTGCGGCCTTAGCGGAACTTTACTTCAATTGGCAATCCCGCGTTTTTGATGCCTTGCGCCAGCCCTGATTGGTCCCCGAGCTCGATTAAATTACCCCAAGATGCATGGGAGCTCAAGTGACAAACAAGGGGGGGGGCGATCATCGAAGGAATGGGAGATGAAAGGAATCCCCAGGATCGCTCCTCTCTTCTTCAAAGAAAAGGCTGTCAAACCTGCGACCGTTGAAGATGGACGACCTGAAGGGGTGAGTTAGGGCACAGTTCTCCAACTGACATACATCTGATGTATCCATACATTAGGTAAAAACCCATACATACTAGTAGTATCCAGTACCTAGAAGTAAGGGTCAGTAATGATGGCATGACTTGATGAATGAATGGCCTGACCACCGCCCGCCTTTTCCCACGCACCCACTCGTCAGTGCTCACAAGATTCACGGAGATCCCCTTGTCGATAAAGCGCCAAGGGAAAAAAACAACCAAATCAAAAGAATACTGACCAGGAAAGTCTGGGGCAAAACGGCCAGTGCACGACACTCCCTTGGAATGCAAGGCGAGCTAGGTACTGCTAGTTGTTAGTTGCCTTTTCTACACAGCCCTCTTGCGCGCCATTCAATCGGTCTCCTCCGTACCCTCCGTACATAAAGTATGAAACATATTCTAAAATAACCTTCTTTTATGATCTCGGGTCGCCCTGAGTTATTGGTTTTCTTCCCGTTCCTTTTGGGATTCTCACTTTTCTGCTTTATCTCTTGGTTTCTGTTGTGATTGTTGTTGTTGTTATTATTATTATCGAATATCTCCACACGAACAAAACAGCTCACGCACTTCGTCTCCTGTCGAGATCTGCTGACTGGAATGATGGTCTGATAGCTTTTTTTTTTGTCTTTCGGCGTCAAAACTTCTCCACAGTACAACGGCGTGAAACCCCACCGCAGCGATCGACTATTAAATTTATCAACGACGCACTGCCCACCTATCTTGCCTACGGATGCGGGAGTGACCGAAGGACGGTTGTGGAATTTTGAACGGTTCTCGCCCATATTTCACCTCAGCTCCTTTTCCCCCCCAGCGCCAGAAACTCTGTACGTTGTTCCCCCGGCGACTACCCGCTGTCCCAGGGTCATGGAACATGGGGGTGTCGTCGGACAAAACTTCCCTCGCTCGTAATACCCATATGGCAATTGTTCTCGGAGTCGGACTGGGTGTTGTAGCTCTAATTATCATGTGTTTGCTGTGAGTATTGAGTGGTTTTGCATCTTTTCGGCTCTCTCTTGTTTTTTTAATGTTCTTCTAAGTGTGTTTTGGTTTCAATTTTGATTTCATTCTATGTTTTATCGGTCTCTGGGTTGTCCTTGTGTCTTTTGCATTCGATTCTACGTGACCCAAACTCATCGCAGCGATTCTAGATTTACCATCTTTGTGAACCGTCGTGAACAGCGCCCCTGCTCGAAAAGCAAGAAAAAGGGATCGAGCGACAAGCTGCGCAAATTGGATGCCGTGTCTCCGGCTCGGACTCTAGAGGAATGGCGCTCGAAATCGAAAGGGCCCTTGTTACCTTCCGAGGGAGTCGACGGTCAATTTGTGTGGTAAGTCGCGCTACCAGTTTTGTCGTCGCTGCCGCTTCGGCCGACATTCTCTTGTATGCGGACGCATTGTCAAAGCCAGCCAGCTAACCCATCCGACTCGTTACAGCGTTGTTTGCCTTGAATCGGTTCTGCCGTCCCAGGAGATTCGGGAGCTGAAATGCCTGCACGTCTTTCACAAGGAATGTCTGGAGAAATGGTATCTGCAGGATCATTTCAACTGTCCGCTCTGCCACAGAGCGTACTACTTTCAGGAAACACATCCTAGTAATGACTTTGTATGGATGGTATGATTGATGTCTGTTGATGCTCGTGCTATGCTTTGCTTGTTCTTCTTCTAGGGCGTTTCGAGTTGGCCGATGTGTTTTAGCTTGGCTCGCTGTTGATCGGATGGTTGTTGTCTTTTCTTGCTCTTTGCTCGCCGCATTGTCTCGTTGCCGAGATTGCTATACAATGGTCTCAGGTAGTTGCGACCTTTCTCCAATTACGGATACTGAAATGATACCCTAGCGAATGCGCTCCGAGTCCAACTAATTCCTTGCAAGGCCAAAGCTGTCGGTGGAAGACAGGAAATCAGTGTTGAAGTCCCAGTTACTGGGATTGTACCAATCCAAGAAGCTGTCCAGACCAGAGGTCACGTCGTTGAAGACCTCTCGTTGGATAGGCTGTGGGTCAATGATTTGGTCGAGAATATGGGATAGTTTCTTCTCCGCTTCCTTGCAGGTCTGATAGTTACCAAAGGTTGGACGCGGAACCCACGACAGACATGATAGAAATACACTTAGATTGCGAATGATTTCCGCGCGAGGCAACATGACAGAGTGCGGGCCGATTTCCTGGGTTTGGTGAAGAAGTTCAAGGATCAGAACACTGGCACTGGGCACCCCGTAGTACAATATCTACGGTATGATGTGAGCATCTCAGAGAGGATTTTGTGATTTGGGCGATCACAACATACCAGCCAGGAATAGTGTCTGTTCAAGTCCATGGACGGCTCACATTCGGAGCCTATCCTGATAACGATCGAAAGGGCCTCGCGCGACGTGTGGATCAACGCCTCTTGCCCTGCATTCGTGCGTTTCACCAGAACCCTCTGGAGAAGGAAAATTGTGTAGAGGTAGTCGAGGTACATGTGGAGACTGGGAAAAGATAAAGCGTATGATTCCGCATCCTCGCTCTGCCCATGAATGTCGTATCGAATGAAAGGTGGGGCTGCTTCCAATGTGGCTCGCGCTTTCTCGATGATTTGGCTATGCTCGATTAGCAGACAATGACTTCGCCGTGCCAAATTCACATAGGGTTCCTCACTTGGACTTTTGGACTAAATCCCAATCATCGCCTGTTCCCAATGCTACTTCGAGAGCTTGATCCCTATACACAGAAAAGAGGAACCGAAGACGTATCATGCTCACTCTGTAATTTTGCCGTTGGGTGTTCCAACCTTCCATGCTCAAGCTGGAAATGGCATTAGTGAGATCTTCACCCCCTGCCACTAGAACATCCTCATGCAAGTCCATGGGAGGCGTCAGCGAGCAGTATCGATAGTTGATAAATGGCGGTCGCCCGACGAAGGTGGCTATCGCCTTATCCGCATAAAATGCAGAGGCGAAACATATCTTTCTCCACTGTCGGAGGAAGAATGGGCAATCATCAGCCTGCGAGCTTTCCTGATGAAAGCCAGCAGCATACACTGTAGCTGACAAGTCGCCCAGTCGGCGCCAAGCTTGATAGCCTAATTCCCTTGTTAGTGTGCTATGCGTCGATTAGACAAGAGATGGGCATACTCGTGTCGCCAAAATGTTGAGTTTTCAACATGACATCGTTATACTGAGCAAAGCCTAGTAATTCGTTTATTGAAGATGCCTGGTCACAGAAGTTGAGACAGATGCTGCTTGCCTCCACGATCTGAGCGCGCAGTCTTTCGCGAGCTTCACTGCTAGGCGCTGCCTGAACAAGGTCCGGGTCATTGTCCGACGTAGACATCAAGGATATCCCAGAGATAGTCAGAACTATCCCAAGAGACTCCCATCGAAGGTTCTTACCAGTAAATGAGGCGCAATACTCCTGGGCAGTCATCGAGCGATGTGTGGTTAGCGGCCTTGAAGTATTATGAGATATCTGATAGACCAAAGCCTGCAACTGGGCTTCAATGTCGCTTCTAATGTCCAGACTGTCAAAGGTACTCCGGATAGACTCTATAATTGCGTCAATAATAGCAATCGGAACTACGACGATTGATTTCTTGGAGTAGAGCTTCCGGACCAAAACATCATAGATCGGAAAGTCATAGATGAGTTTCAATAGCTCTAGGCCAGCCCTTAGACGGTCTGGGTCGACAGCCCTAACCGGAGTACCTGTCACTGTGCTGTGATCTATTTCGAACGGAAGATTACTGGGATGCTCCGCAAGAATAGCCGAGTAACTAGTCGCCCCGAGATAGCCAGGAAGCTCGGGGGTTGGCTCCAAGTTTGCGCCGAGTCGAGTACTTTCCATTGCCAATGATGGGCTTGAGATACTGCAAAAAAGAGTCAATTTTCACTTGGTGGTTCTCTTAAGTTTCGAAATACATCTGGAAGCGGAAGTCCTTACTTTGATCTTGGTTGATTTGTCAGGCCCCTCGACGCGTGGATCGGACTGGTCCGATTTGAGGCCACCCCCTTTGTCATTGGCGCAGGATGGTAGAAACATTTGGCCGTGATCTTTTTCGTGGTACATCTACCACAGACAGGTCTTGCATGGTCGCACCGCAGCTTGGCCTTGCGACAAGGTTCGCAAGACTGGAGTGTGCCATTGCGGCGGACTGCGGGGCCTCTCGTCGGTCGCTCCGCCATTAAATATCCCCACACCAACGCGATTAATTGCGCGGTATCTTCATGCGCCTGTTGTTCTTTCGGCTGTTCTTCTAATGATAAGGATCCTCCGTGAGTTCGGGTTTGATTCATGTTGAAGTCTGAGGTGGCATCCGATAAAGGAAGCTTAACCTAATCTAACTGGAAATAGTTAGACCAGGGGCCTCCAGCATCTGCCCTAAAAGCTGGAATCAGAGTAATCACTCTAAACTTACTACCCCGCTGTGAGGAAGTCAAACGCTGTATTCGAATGCTAATCTAATGGCTTTTATACATTATAATATTAATGTCCACTCTTCCTATCCACCTGCAGTGCGTCGCCATAGTGGCTCACGTCGTATCCGTTCTCCTCTAAGTATGCCTTGAACCTGGCATCCTCATCCTCCAACTCGCGAGACATATCCGGAATCAAGAACCATGCAATGAGACCTCCGACCACTGTAAAGGCAGAAGCAATCAAGAACACGGCTTGTTGGCCCTTTGCCGTGGTATCGAACGAGTTCTGAATGGGAGTGAACACTTCCGTTCCAATAGAAGCACCAGCCTTGCCCACGGCGGCAGCAAATCCCAGAAAGTGACCACGGAGAGGAGTTGGAAAGGACTCCGCAGCACAGAGAAACGTAGATACACCGGGGCCCATTTCGCCCAAGGCCATGAAAATGCCGTACATCACCACGAACAGCGGGAACACGCTTTGGATTGGGTGAAGCGCACCACCAAGGATGAAGCCCCAGATGGACCAGAGCATGAAACCAAGAGTCATGTTTTGCTTGCGACCAATTTTGTCCATGAGATACCCTCCAAGAAGGCACCCAGGAAGATAGAAGCAGTTGATCACTGTCTAGAAGGCCATGATCTTTAGTTACTAGTTAAATGGAAATGTTACAGATAGGACACTCACTCCATAACCGATGTTCTGGACAGTTGAATTGTCCGTCATCAATTGCTGGATAATGGTGGATGAGAAGATTCCGAACGGGTAGGTGACAAAGTCGTAGCAGAACCACGCCAGGGCTACACAGTCAGCACTTGAAGAGATAGACGAATGATATGGTGACTCACAGGTTCCGAGCATCGGCTTCCAATATCTTTTGAGAATGAGCCCATATGGATACCTAGATTTGATGCTGTGCTTTTGGTACTGAGTCGAATTGATCATGCGAATCCGGAAGAAGCAGATGAAAAGGGGAAGCTATAATAATCATATGAGTATTTATAGTAGAAGAATAAACATATCAAAGTGACGTACCACAAATCCAATGCCAAAGGATATACGCCATACACCAGCTCTAGTCTCTTGACCATAGCAAGCGAGAACAATCAGCGCCACGATACCAGCGGAGACAAAGCCCTATGTCCATGTGTCAGTACTTCCTTTGGCCTATAACTACCCTTGCTGCATACCAGGTCCACGGCAAAATCAGTAGTTGAGGCTACCAAGAAGCCTCGGTTTTTCCGAAGCTTCGTTGTCTCGTCTGCTGCCTCCGTTGCACTCGTTGCGCAAACGGGATACTCGCCGCCGGCTCCAAAGCCAGCAACACCACGGGCAATGATCATCATCCAGAACATTCTAGATACCTGTAAGCAGTGGCTTTGGCATGCTAGGAGGAATGGAAAAAGGGGCACATACCCAAGCTCGGATTTCCCGTGCGCAGCTGCTGCCAATGCAATACCCAGAACTAAGAACGCAGTGGCCGCTACCACACCCGTCCTTCGTCCCATGCGATCAATGAGAACACCAAAGAAAAGCATGCCAAAGATTTCTCCTATAAGGAACGAGTTCGATAGTCGACCTTTGATTGTTGGAGACATGCCATCTTTGTATCTACCATGCACCAAGAAACTAGTCAGCGGGAGAGATCTTGGCTGCAAAGCTTGTACAACTTGTATTGCTTGCACAGCTTGTATGGCGGGGTACACACAAGACCGAGAATAAGGGTTCCATATATCCAACTACAAGATTCAAAAGGATAGCGTCCATCAGTAAATTGTTTTTGATCCGGGATTGTTGGTGTACTTACTAATCTGGGCATTGTATCCATCACTGAAAAGAGCCAGACCCGAAATGATCACATTCAGAACCCCGGAACTTTTGCTGGATTGACCAGCTTCGACATCCTCCCTGCTCTCGATTGTGTTCTCCCGTCCTTGTAAGCCTGTCCATTTGCTCACTGTGACATCGGCATCCTTGATCATTGAAGAATCGGCCGGAGAACTTTCTACCGAGGTCATGGTTGGAATTGATAGCAGCGAGGCCGTTCTGGTGCCGTAAATACAAGAGGACGACAACAACAAAAGAACACAAATGATTTTTTCCCAGTCACTTTAGCCCATGTCGAACAATCTTCTATATAACTTCGACATTGATGGAGAGGAAGGATCGCAAGATCGGAATGCATTGCTCTCCCGTTGGCCAATCATGGGGGTAAGATATTGCACGGGCATGCATATTGTCGTGAGCTTGACAGACATCGATTGAGTTTCCACCGGTCGCGGTACATACTGAGAAGTCTAGCTATGCAGCTCCGGAGAACGTCCGTCGAGATTGACATGTTGTAGGACGACAAGAGGGACACGTGCCTCTGTACCTGGTGAGTGGAGACGGTAGGGTCCCCCGAGATGTCGGAAACTACCGCGACACTAATCTCTAAGCGAAGGCCCCATCTCCAACTGTCGTCCTGTCGTTCGAGGCACATGGACACTTCGAAGTGTTATCACTGGCCAGTAATCGTAGTCATACAATGTAACAGTTCCCTGAGACTCAAGGATGATCTCTCCATCTGTACGCAATCTCGACTCCCAGCGCTGCAACATTCCCCGCTCTCCTCTCCTAATCCATTACCCTACGATGTGTCACGATACCGATTTTAGACCCGGCATTAGTCGACTGCTCAATAGGAGATGGCCTGCTGCAGCACTTATTTAGTCGGTGATCCCAGTCGCTTTCAGGGAATAGATCATGTGCCTCTCTTCTATCCGACGAAAAACAAATAATTGTCCCCCCAAGAGCTTACTTGACTTTACTTGCACCATGGAGAACAGCCACTTCCCTTTGACTGAGGATCAAATTCAATCCTATAACGAGAAGGGCTACTTGGTTATTCAGGGCTTCTTCGACGCCCCAGAAACCAAGCTTCTCCAGCAATGGACTCAGGAAGTCCATGACCTGCCCCGCACTCCAGATGCATCATACATGCCATACGAGGTGAGCTACCGGTTTTAAAGAGAATAACAAAGTATTGAGCACAGAGCTGATATAAGAGTATAGGAGGTAAATGCACAAGGCAAGCGGGTCCTCTGCCGTACAGAGAACTACGCCAATACCCATACTGGCTTTAATAGCTTCCTTCGGGGCCAGCGCATGTTGAGCGTCCTCGAACAGCTGGCGACCGAGCCTATGCTACTTTTCAAAGAAAAGATCAACTACAAACTCGCCGGCAGCGGTAAGCGTCCAGTCTTACGCAGTTCTCAGGGCTCCTTTGGCATCTAACGCTAATCGTTAACCCACCCCACTCAGGTGGCTTTTCTCCTCACATCGATGCCAACGCCTATACCCACGTCAAGAACATCAAGCATTTGACTGTCCTTGCGGCGGTGGACGATATGACCCCCGAGAACGGGGGCTTGGATGTTGTAGACGGCAGTCATCGTACAGAGATCAAACTGGGAGAAGATCGTTGTATTGACCCTGCTTGGGTCGAAAGCCAAAAGTGGACTCCTTGCTGCCTTCACCCAGGTTAGTGCGACCAATGCTACCCATATGGCAAATTGAGACATCTATTAACTCAGGCCAGGCGACATTATGGTGTTCGGATCCTATCTCGCCCACCGCAGTGGTGCTAATACGAGCTCTAAAGACCGCCGTGCGATCTATGCCACATACAATTGCAAGGCGGAAGGCGATCTCCACGATTCATATTACGAAGACCGAAGAAAGCTTTGGCCCGCTACTCACATGCGGAAGGAAGGAGAGAACTACGAAGAGGGACGACTTCGGTATGGGTATGGTTCTCCCATGCTGACTATTGAAGGCCAACCACAACCGGTAGCGTAGACAATTGTGAAATACACTCCGTACTTGGGGAGTGCAATATAGTTGGGGTGGTACCAATGTAAATAATCTTGAAGTCTATAAGGCCAGGGGGCAAACTAGTGAGGATAGCATTCTTGCATGAGGGTAATAGAGACATGGAATTGATAGGATAGTTTCCTCCCACCATAAGTGATATAAGAGAATAGCAGTCTAATTTTCAACGCCATCCCCTGGCAAAAACCAATTAAACCGGAGAAAGGAATGTCTAGTACGAGTAGTGCCCATTTTCAAATCAATACCACACGTGGGGTTAACGTTTTGCCATTTGGAACTATTTAAAGCTATCATCCCCTCTTTCTCTCAACTCTCCCGACCTTCTTCAACTTTTACCCTCAACTCCTCAGAACAGATATTTCCGTCCCAAACCCCTCAAAAATGGCCACCCAATCACCCAAAGAAAAAGCCGAATACCTAGTCACATCGCTCGAACAACACGGCCAAGGCGACTACATAGGCGAATCAATCAGCCAACTAGAACACTGTCTCCAAGCAGCCCACAATGCACAGAAACACGGTCAGTAGATAGATCACCAAGAAAGCCAACTAAACAATCAATCAATCAATCAATCAACCAACTAACATTCCACGGCACCAGGCGCACGAAGCGAGCTCATAGTCGCAGCTCTCCTCCACGACATCGGCCAAATCATCCCCCTCGAATCAACCAAAGAAGTGCGAATGAATTTGAAGAACAGCGCCGAAAACGTTGGTCGCGTAGGCCATGAGAAAATCGGATCTGAGTTTCTGCGCTCTCTAGGATTCAACCCGAGTGTGTGTCAACTAGTTGAGAGTCATGTTGCGGCGAAGAGGTATTCTCTCTCCGTTCTCGGGTTGTCATTTAGGGCTTCTCTGTATGTTTGGGAACTAATATATTCATGGGCAGATACCTCACGGCGGTCAATGACTCGTACTATGATTCACTATCATCGGCTTCGAAGAAATCGCTCGAATTTCAGGGGGGTCCATTCAAGGGAGCAGAGCTTGCTGCTTTTGACCAGGATCCGCTGCGTGATGAGATGGTTGCATTGCGGCTTTGGGACGATGCTGCTAAGGTTCCAGGTATTGAGGATTCCACGCCCCGTGCACGGGAATATTTGAATTTGATAGTGGCGCATTTGGAGGCACAGGAGGTAGCGTAGCACTTTGTGTGTGGGAGGGTATGAATCTAAGTCGGACATCATGCGCGGCACCTTTTATCCTGTACTAGTCTCTAAGATCCATCTATACGACCTTTGAGCTAGAAGAACGAGGTTGCTTTAGCATCCGAGGTAGTGGTGCCTCAATTCAAAGCATAGCCCGTGATAAGGCCTAGGCATACGTTTTATCATGGCAACACATCTACTAAGTATTTTACACTACTAGTTCTCGGTGGTTGGGATCGTCATCAACTGAATTTGTCATGCCGACGTTGGTCGTATACATACAAAGACACACAATGCAATCAGGCAAAATACTGCTGTCCACGCTTGCGAAAGAACAATGCAAGTGTATAGGCACTGGTGCTAGCCACAAAATTCCACATCAATACCAACTTCTAAATCCTCCAACATCAGAATACCCCCGGACGCCGTAACACACATAACCAGACCCATCGATTTTAAACCAGAAAAAACCAAGAAGACACCCACAAGTCATTGATCATCAAAGACCTGAAACGCATGGACAAGTGAAGAATAATGGATATACGAAAGGGTAGTAGGAGGCACATGCAATATGCACTATTATAGCCCAGCAGAAGCAATCCACTGGACTCAAAGTAAGATGAGTCAAATAAAATGTAACATAAGAAGGATATCTTGAAGGAATAAGGAAGAGACAAAAGACTGCAGTGGGACTTATTTCACGCGAGTTGGGCTGCCGGCACTGCCGATTCGGCACTAGTCTTGCGGACGCCTCTGGTCTCGCTCCGGCTGTCCGTAACACGGCGAGGGCTGGTGCGGACCTTGGCAACGGATACCCCAGTCTTAGAGCTCAATGGGGTCTTCGGTGCGGCATATGCAGCGTCACCCCAGTTTTCCCTATCCTCATGAATGCCATCATTCAATGTGTAGCTCGTGGTCAATGTTGCCGAGTAGCTAACGGACCGCGGGCTTGGGGATGCCACTGGTGACTTCGACGAACGCTTCGCAAGCATGCGAAGTTGAATCTCCTCTTCACTCTCGCTGCTATCACTGCTAAGACGCTGGCTTCTGTGCGCTGAGTGTTCTCTGGTTTTCGCCTCCTTGTCAACTACCAGGCTGCCAGATGTCGTGCGGGCGTAGGGGTGGTGACGGGAGTCTTTCCTGTGCGATTTCCTAGGCTGGCCGGGTGTTGGGGCCGGGAGATTCTCGTCGTGCTGTGCTCCAGCAGCCTCATTGTGATCGATTTCACCCAATGCGGCGCGCTTTGAGTGACCGTTATTTGGAGGAGTAGCGACAGGGCCGTTGTTCGCACGCTGCTTGGTGGATGGACGGCCGGGCGTGACCGGAGCTGCCTGCATTTGTGCCAACTTCTCCTTCATGCTGTCCTCGAACCACCATTCACGGAATGCACCTTGGTTCAAATGCAGCCAGTGTTGTTGTGGGCCAACCACCATGCCAGGGCGCATGAACCTCATGAATGCAATAATCTCATTGGCAGTAAATCCATATCGGTAAATAAGATATGCGCCAATCAGACAGCCCGTCCGGCCAAGGCCAGCTTTGCAGTGCACAGCAATTCCCTTCTTCTTGACCGTAATCATGTCATGGGCCATTTTGATGAATCGTCGGACCAATGGTAGAGAAGGGCAAGTGCCGTCTTCAAAAATCATGTCGATGTGAGTAATGCCCAAGGCCGTAAAGTATGAAGGCGAGTACAATTCAGAATTCAATCGCACAACCAGTCCAATGTCTCGTGACGCGAAGTGGGCCAACACATTTTTGAAAGGAAGAGGTAATTTGGATGCATGGACTTGGGAGATTGTAGAGGGTAATGCGGCATATTCGGGGGTATTAGGAGAAATCGGGGCAATCGGTTCGTGCTGCGGCGAAGCAAAGGCCAAGAAGTCAGGTGTTATCCAGTTGAAGTCACCCATATCGACACGTTCGTATTTCTCATACCTAGTGCCTGGTCAACAAGTTTCTTATATGGCAGTCAAATGAAACATACTCTTCAAGACTAAACTCCCTCAAGCCACACAGTGACTGCTCCTTTGCTTTCCATACTCCATAAACCACATCTTGAATGGTCAGAGTGAAATCTGCCTGACTGTACCCGGCATCTCGGAATGGCATATACGGAGGATCAGCCTGCGCAATCGGAGCCAAGGCCAAATGAGGCGGCCATGATTGGATGAGGACCATGTAGCAAGCAACAAGACATGCTGCATTGGCACGACTCCGGGCGTCAGGCTTCGAGTAGAACACCACTGGGCGATCACTGTTGGCCGGGTCGCCCAGGATCTCATGGAAATGAACCGCAAACCGGTACAGGTGACCTATGTGGAGCGGGCCGAAGTCTGCATGGAAAGAGTTGTAAAGCAAGGTATCATCGACCGTGAAATACACGGGGCTTCGCCTCTTCCTACTGGGGGTGTTCGGCTGAGCTCTCGCGGAGCGCTTGCTTGGAGACTTAGGTTGCTCGGAAGGATATGGGAATGGAGTTCTCGCATCCGGTGCGTCGTCATAGGAAGCCAAGTAAAGACGATCTGTTTTGCCAGGCAGTTAGCATGTGGCTTTTGATATCCAGCACCGGATGTTTTGATCAGTGCAGAAAGTCGCTCCAAATGGAATCAACAGATGCAACCGCACTTACCTTGGATATACTCAATGATCTGGCCGTAATCACCACTGTTTCCGGCCATTTTGAATGCAGCAATGCGTCACCAAAACAAATGGCTAACAGTAATATGGACAATAAACAATCGATAGGGGGCTAGGCAAACAGCAAGTAGGGCGTCTCTGGGAGAGACTTGTCCTGCAATTGCAAGATAGTTGTAACCTGATCAACAGAGTAGATAAATCCAAACAAGTGACCCAAGCTAAACAATCATGATCCGAACCGTTGCCACTCTTAATAGACAAGAATACTGATAATCCACGGGGGGGTCGCGGATAGAATAAGGATACCGGCAATGCGGCCTGAGTAGGAGCAGGGAATCGAGGAGACCTTTAAAGGAGCTCTTGAAGGGGGGTAAGAGAGAGGGGAAGGATGGAGCTGGAGAGGAGAAAAAGGTGGTGAACTGCCGCACGAGAGAAGAGCTCGAGGCCGATGAGACCGTTTAAGGAAATGCGATGCACGCTTAGTGGCCGCTGTTATGTTGTGATGGCCCCAGAGCAGTCTAGCGCCAGCCGTTGACACGACAACGCTTGTTGCCTCAGGCGAACGCCACAACTGTCAAAACAATCCCTTATGTAAGCCACCACAACGCCCCCGCTCAGACAAACAAAGACAAACCACAACCAAAGCGGTTGCCCTCACAGTGTTTTGGTTGTTTGTTGTGTGCACCGCCACAAGCCCTCATCCTGGCGATCGAAAACGTCCACGTTCTGGGGATGCCTCTGCATCCAACCTTCTTTTTTCCCCGACCATAGTGACTTGTGGTTATATTTTAAGGACAGTTTGAAAATTTACATCAACCACAAATAGGGGAGGAAGCCCATTATAAGTTATAAGTTATAACTGGCCTATCAGCCATGAGAGAGGGGCTTGCCTCCACGGAGCGTTCTCACTCCAGACAGCAGAACAGCATTGTCAGGGCGATGGCGAACGAGCAATAACTCCAGACTGAGACCCTTTCTCGGTCCACCGGAAATTTTCGGACGATTTGTGACTTTTCGTCTGAGCTGAAAATTGCAAAATGAAGTATTCACCTTCGGGCTAGCCATTGGATATATCCTGTACATCCTATATCATGAAGGGGGGCATTCCCGGTAGTACTACATCGCTCGTACCCTGTTAAGTATACTGAGAGATGGATCAGATTGTACAGCGCCTCTGGTCCCTGAATATCTGCTATCGCTAGTTCAATATATATCTTCACAGTCCTAGGCATGTCACTGTGGAGCAGTCGATGCCCGAAAATGTGGCAACAGCAACTTGACTGTTACAACACTGCTTTTAAAGTTTCGATAGTACGGACAAATATCTTGTTTGGACAAGTGAGCACGCTCAGGAGAATATCCTCCGTACTTTCTCCCTCGTGTCTATCAAGTACCGTCACAATGTTGAAGACTTAAAGCTCGTGTGTGCCCACCCAAAAGGGAAAGTAATCTGCGGGCAATGACCGAAATTCGAGTTTCACGAGTGATGATCAGCGGAGGGTAAAAAGGGCGCAATTTGGTAACCACTGCGCACGATGCTTAGAATTTGCCGTTCCATGAAAACTACAGAGGAGCAAAGTGGATCTGATCGGCAGGGGCGGGGGGTTTGCCAATTTGCTGTACGCTAGAAGCAACGTTGTCCCGTACCCTAAGTACTACGTAGTCGAACCATTCGGTGAACAGAGTACAGCGTATAACTGAGTGTGGCTCACTGCGCGACATCAAAACCAATATCAATCCAAGCAGGCGTATTCATGGAATTTAACAATGGCCCCGAATTCTCCGACAAGCCACTGACGAAGGGATGGTATCTTCGTGGCCTGGCAGGACGCCAACTCTAGGGCAGTGGCGACAGCAAAGCAACGACGATCTTCCAGCTAAGGCGCGACTATCGATGGTTAAGGTTTGAGTTATTACGCTTAAGTGACGTTTAATTGGATCCGGGGTATGTGCTCGTTTTTCTACCAAGTGCCGGCTACTGACGGGTGCTCATGCGCAACGGTCATGTCTCTGTGGATTGATCAGGGCTGAAACCCTGTGGTTGAAGATGGCTTACTATCTATTGGGATTGGGCTTGGCTAGCAATCCGCTCCAGTAAATAACAGCTTACAGACCCTGAATTACTACCGAGTACCGTGGTACAAGAATGTCGAACTATTGAAGCTTTTATCGTCGAGCAAAATATTTGACACTTGGCAGTCAACCCATCATGGCCTCAATCTTGTGCCTCGGACCCTATCCTTAGTGCTTGGCTAAGGAGCCTAGTATTTCACGCAACGGAGACATGGACGGCTTGTGCACCAATTGGACGCCTACCCCGCCATTGAAGCTTACCTACGTTAAGCCTGGCCCTCAATTCTACGTTCGTATAGGTAGTCATTGGCGTTGTTGCCCATAAGGACCCAGTTTGCTTACACATGGAAGTGCAGTAAAAAGGTTGAAAGCAAGGCTGTCCACGTCGATCATCATTTGATTCAACTACATGGAACAGACTAATGGATTATGATGGTCGCCACCTGCGGTGCCTGTGCAACAAGCCCCTGATTATTGGGGTGAAGAGGCAGTATATAATCAGGCTTGGGCATCCTCTTCCAAAGCATTCTCTTTCCCCATCAGACAAGCTCTCTCAACTCAGTCATTCTTTTCCCAAGCCCGCTCTTCAGCGTCCACTCTTTTAAAAACACAAGTCATTCATTCTTTCTCATCCATACACCAATTTTTAACCCGCCAAGATGAAGTTCACCGGACTTATTGCCTCTCTTGCTGCTGTCAGCGCTGCCTCCGCCGCTGCTATTCCTACCGCTTCTCTCCAGCCCACCTTGAACCAGCTTAACGGTGTTCTTGGAAACATCGACGGTCTCCTTGGTGGTGCCCTCGGCGGTGCGGGCATTTCTGACCTCGTTCAGGTTCAGGATGGTGTGTTTGGAACTTTTAGTCGTGTTTTGCCTCGCATAGAAGCTAACTCTATTGGCACCAGCTCTCAAGCAGATCAAGGGCGAGCTGAACCAGCTCACTAGCACCGTCTGCCAGCGCAGCGTTGTTGGCAATGAGGTCGACACCGTTAACAATGTTGTTTCGCCTTTGACTTCCACCGTTAACGGTGCCGTCCAGCCTGTGGTTGGCACCGTCAACTCCGCTGTCGGCACCGCTGAGGGTGCTGTTGGCAACGTCCTTCCCGGCACCACCGGTGGTACGTACTGCTTTCAAGCCGAGAAATCATAATGACTAATATGGATAATAGTCCTTGGTGCTAAGCGCCAGGTTGGACAGCTCACTGGTGTTGCGACGAGCCTGGTCAGCCAGGTTAAGGATGGTAAGTTACTGGCCTGGTTCAGATTGCGAAAGACTGTTAGCTGAGTAATTTTTAGAAACCCTCGATGCTGCTGGTGTCGAGCACATCCTCGACCTCGTCCAGACCAGTAAGTCCAGCAATTTTATACTTTTCTTGAAGCTCTACTAATCACATCCTAGACAACCTCCCTCTGGTCAGCAGCATTCTTGGTCTTCTGTAAAGAGACTGACCAAGAAATCTTTTCTCTCACGACTGTCATGGAACCTATCTGCGAGACGCTTGACGTAAATTTCTTGTCGGGAAATCCACGGAAAACGGCAATGTGAGAGGACAGCGATGCTGAAACCTGGCTGAACGGCGACATGGACATCAAGGACTGAGAGGAGATCTTTGTATATACAGTCTAGTGAATGCTTTAGTCCATAATTCTTAATTTCATTTGTTTGCAGAGCCGAGCTCTGCAAATTATTCTATTGTTCTATGACCGATACACCTATTCTGTATTCCACATTGAACCGCTAGGATCCCTGGACTTTATCTTAAGCTGCTTGAATAAATTAAATTCCTTGATAGTGACTTACTTGCATAGATTAAATAGAGCGAAGTAATTGATCTGCTTAAATCATAGTATATTCTCAGCTTATTAAAATATTGCGTTCTGCGAGTATTGGACAGTGGTCTAATATCCCCATGGAGACATATCTCCAGCTCGGTATTCAGCACTGGCTAGAGCATATTGACATCGATGTCCATTTAGTGAGTCTCTTGATGAGGTCTCTTCTAGACAAGGCTTTATTTAGCCTATATAATTATTATGACAGCTTCGATATAGCTGAGCGAAACCTGAAATTTCAAAATCCTGAGTCTCGACACTAAAATATATACTTCGTGTTATCGCCAGCCAAAATTGTTTAAGCATCCAAGCCATGGGCTATTGACCGCGTGGAATGTAAACCGGAAGATAAGACTTGTAGGCTCAAGTAGCACTCTTGAGTCTCGTATCATTATAACAAGGAACTACTGAGAATCAATCTGTCTAGGAGTATGTGGAATTGGAATTGGAATTGAATATTTCCTGAGTCGAGATTGACGGTGCTGACTCATCCAAGGGCACCCCACTTTTGCTTCAAGTCAATTCAATTTACATCGACTTCTTTTGCTTCGATGCCCGCTACCGGTGGTCTACTGTTTTAACCCTGCATTTTACTTCGTTGGATTTTTTTTACCCTTTCAGCACGGACATCGAATCCAACTAGAAAACCATCCAGCATCATGGCCTCCGTTGAAGAATTTCCCTACACTTTGTAAGTTCAAACACAATAACTACCCCTCCAATCAAGAGATCAAGGTCTAATATACCACGCACACCAGGACAGTCTCCCTCCCCCTCCCCTCAAATCGCCTTGCAACCTCCGCTCTTCGTGCGATTGAAGTCGACACCGAACTCTCCCCCTTCGTCCGACGCGATATGGTGGTAACATCCCCGAAGGGCATCCAAGCGGATACCGAAGAGGCAAAGACTGTACTCGAGACTACATACCGTGCAACCACCAACCGGATGCTGCGGGTGGCTGTCAATGGGTTCATGGAGAGCCTTGGGGTCGTTCTCGGAGTAATGGAGGAGTTGGATGTCGATGTATTAGAAGCGGAGGGAGTTGAGAAATGAGCCCAACTCGCAATGGGTAACATCTACGTCCCGCTTAGCTGGAAACGGATACAAGTTGTGCAACATCCTATGGCTACGGCGTCCTCCTTGTCGGAAAACAAAGCATACCGGAATCGCTATCGGCTGGACGCACTCTTCAGGAGAGTATGAGCGTGTGGGTATTCCCCAATGTCGTATAACGGGGAACATATCGTCGATGGGAAGAGGCATGGCGTCCGGGGTGGATGGGGAATCATGGGTGAATGTTCCTGCCAAGGTTCTACTTGATGACGCAGAAGCAGGAACCCTCTGTAGCACAAAATAGCTACGAGGTGCACAACCTTTTCAAATGTATGTATGCATGTCTCCAATTATGTATGTGCATACATGTCTTGTTGTCGGGTTGGTCGAATAGTCTTGGGATGTCTGTGTCTGTCGCCGCGATGTTCGGCATACTAGCCTCCAGCTGCTTAGAGAATCTGCCATCGGCCAAGATTTAATATAACAGAAGTTATTCGCGGAGATTAAGCGGTGAACAACTTTCCGGCGGAACGTCGCTACCAGTAAAGCGAAGAAAGACAATCGTCTAAGGGAATCACTGGATAACGGGAGCCATGACGCGTGGAAGATGCTACCAGGACGTAGGGGACATCACAAAACAGTAGTGGTCTGTCTATTGAGATCTTGGTTTACTGTGAGCAACTCCAGTAGACGCTCCAGACCACCTAATAAGCCCCACACTTCACAAGAATCCTTCTTATAGTTCATCTGGATATCTTTTCCGGAGTACAGCCATTGGAACATATATGATGTGCTGTGGACACCTGCTCTTAGCACGGACGTGAAGGGACACACCGCTTCGTATCCCCATCTTGTTAGTTCAACTGTTTATGTATAACGAGAGGACTTCTTTACCACATACTAGGAAAGATGACTGAAGTTCCATAGGGTTCGTGCTACTCTATTAGGAAAGTTGGGAAAGTGGCCCTTTACTCCCCATAGTAATAGGTCTTGGTGGAAGGAGAACTGACCTGGCTACTGAAGATGGAAAAGCATCAGGTTCATAGTTCATGCCAGCAGTCACTATAGAGTACATTTTCGGCAACTAGGGATTGAGGGCATCTGTATTCATATAGGCACTACAGATATTGTGTAGTGGTGTGATACATCTCGATGACAAGGAGAGGTGGCTAGCTGAAGACACGCATCGGTAAATTGATCCCTCGTGAATTGGGAGATCATATTGTCTACGCAGGTCCCTTGCATTTATGCAAAGAAGTTTTATTGGGTTCTGCTGTCGATAGTAGGCAGATCGACGCGTAAGATTTATCTGCAGCACCCATGGTGACCGATCTACATCCCGTACTAGGAACCATACAGGTCAGATCACATCGGGCGTCAATGCGGTCAGCCCTCTTGCATCTTGCCAACACACAACCTGTCTTCTCGAGATATATCCCCAGTTCTTCCTCACCTGTTATCTGCCTGTCTAGCGCAATTTGACGTGTTTTCTCATTGAAGTCAATCAGCTCTAATTTTCCCGTCAACTTCTCACGTCGCTCGCGCTCGAGTGCAAGCCAATTCCTTTTCAAAAGATGCTCCATAATCGAGCGCCATCCGCTACAAGAATCAGCGGCAAACCACATATTTATTTGAAAGCCGATGGCAAGCAGCAAAACACAGGAAACAGCTTTTGGGGTCGTCGCAGTCATGTTTCTGCTTTTTCTGGCCTCCTAAGTTTGCTTTTCGCAATTGGCACGTTTCTTTTCGTGCAGTTTCTTCGTATCTGCCTCGAGCATTTCGACGGCTCTCTACGGCAGGGCTTGTTTGAGCTACTGGTATACTCATCACCGATAGACCTTTTTCGACACTATCTTCCTGAAATGTCCTATGGCCATGTGATGGCGTATGCGAGCTGGATAATTTCTCAGGGACTGTTGTACTCCCTTCTTCCCGGGAAGACCGTCTATGGGCCACCAACACCGGGAGGGAATACTTTGCCCTACCGGATAAACGGACTGTTGTCGTGGTGTGTCACAGTTGGTACAGTCATTCTGGCCGCTTGTATAGGAGGTGTTGAGGTAGTTGCAAGCTTAGCCCAAAATTGGGCAGGAGTATTAGCCGCAGCGAACGTCTATGGACTAGTATTGCCAGCTCTGGCTGTGGCGAAGGGTCATATGTGGCCGAGCTTTAAGACCGATCGGCGGCTGAGTGGTTCGTGCATATTCTTCCCGTAGAGATATGTTGGCTTTATAGCCTTCTATATGATGTTTGAAGAATGAGGCTTATCGGGAAAATTTTGCTAACGAATCCAGGCTCTATCTTTCACGATTTTCTGGTTGGTGTTGAACTGAATCCCCGGCTGGGTCGGCACTGGGATCTGAAGATGTTCCAAGTTGGCCGTCTAGGAATGAACTCCTGGGTAGTGATGTAGGAATGCCCCCTTTGCGATGCATAGTGTAGAGAATATGGACTTACCCAAACAGCGACCTATCTTTCATGGCCCAACAATACCTCCACTATGGCACAATCTCTAACTCAATACTAATTGTGATCATTCTCCATGCCGTATACGTCATCGATTTCTTCATCAACGAGGACTGGCAAGTCCCTCTTATTTTCTGTACCGATTGTACCAGGTTCTAACATACCTGTTCAGGTACCTTACAACCATAGACATTGCCCATGACCACTTCGGCTTCACCCTCGCCTGGGGCTCTGCCGTTTGGTTACCCATGGTCTATACTGTGCAAGCCCAATACTTGGCCTTACATCCAGTTGAGCTCTCTTCATTCACATTCAGCGCGATCCTTGGAACAGGTATCTTGAGCTATGTGCTATTTCGTCTTGCCAACCACCAGAAACATCATTTCCGACAAACGAAGGGCAATTGCCAGATTGCCGGTAGCAAGCCTCGCGTGATCAGGGCCCAGTATACTACGGCGAAGGGGAAAGTCCACGAGACATTTTTGCTGTATTCTGGTACGTAAATTTCTTACCCTGACATTCTTCACTTGACTTGCTTCATGCTACGTCTAAAAGCTGCCCAGTGAACAAGGCATAACTAACTGGGAGCAGGCTGCTGGGGGATTGTGCGCCATCCCAACTATGTTGGTGACATTGTTTTCTCTTTCTGCACGTGCGTGTGCTGTGGATGGTCCCATGTTCTACCGTATATCTATTTCATCTATATGACTATACTGCTGGTCCACCGGTGCCATCGGGATGAGAAGCGGTGTTCAGCTAAGTACGGGTCACGGTGGGAGGAGTATCAGCAGATGGTGCGGTGGAGGATGATCCCTGGATTATTCTGAGCCCTGTTCATTACAAAGTGAACTTGGAGTATGGTTCCAATTAACATACGCAGAGTTGAAGCAGATCATATACTATAAGTTGATAGTGCACTATTTCTAATATCTGATAACTACGTTATTTCTTGTTTAGTCAGAATATATACTAGGCAAAATTGTGACTGGTATAGACATTTGACTTCGATTTAATTACTGCTTCACGGAGATTGGTTAGTTGGCTGTAAAGGATAAATTTAAATTTATGGAGATTATTCAGGCAATGATCCGGTATCGATTCGGTACCTCACATAGGAATCGCTTCCCCTCATTATCTCGTGGCATGGCCTTATTGGGTGGTAGTGTTTAAGGAAGTGGGTATGAAGACCTGCCGAAGATCTCCATAAAAGTATTCTGGTCCAACAATCGGCCTTCCAGCTCTGCACGAATGATGCGCAGGACCCCGCCATCGCAAGCAGTGGCCAGCAACTGGTCCCCTTTCTGGAGCAGACTGGGCTGAGCGGAGGACTTAGGGCTACTAGTATCTTCTACCACCAATGTGCGCCAAATGACTACCCGTCCTTTGGCCGTATCCATGAACGCCCCCGGATACGGATGCGTCACAGCTCGCACAAGATTATGAATTTGTCGAGCGCCCATCGTCCCCCAATCAATCAACCCGTCCTGTGGCTTGCGTCCGCCAAAATACGACCCGCAGCTGAGGTCCATCTGTCTGGCGACCACCGTGCCACTCACGATCTCGGGCAGTGTTTGGCAGAGCACCAACTCCGCCGCGACCAATACCTTGGAAAAGACATCCTCCGCCGTATCATTGGGCAGGATCGGCACGGCCATCTGCCCCACAATGGCGCCTGCATCGGGCTTTCGCACCATTTCGTGGAGCGTGGCGCCCGTCTGGGCTTCGCCGTGCACGAGAGCCCAGTTGACGGGGGCGCGGCCACGATAGCGAGGCAGCAGAGAGCCGTGCATGTTGTAGCAGCCTCGCCGGGCTGTCTCCAAGACCGCCACGCTAAGGATCTTTCGGTAGTAGAAGGAGAAAATAAAATCGGGGTTCAACGACCGTAGCCGCGTGGTCATTTCTTCTGAATTCGGGTCGTCGGGCGTAATCACGGGGATTCCATGTAAACTTGCGAGGTTCGATACGCTGTCGAACCAGATATTCTCGTCCTCGTCGTCCGGATGGGTGACCACCAGCTTCACCTCGATCTCTTGTGCAAGGAGGACGGAGAGACACCTCACGCCTACGTTGTGGTACCCGAAAACAACGGCGGAGACCATTTCCAGCTTGGTTTGCGCTTTAGGTTGTTGGGGGGAAATGTCGAAGGGTATAGGCTGCTGCAGCTGAGATTGTTCTACTGAAAAGATCCGTGCTAAATAATACCGCCCTTCTGAGCCAGCTTAGACTAACTTAATCAGCTAGTTAATCTTATTCGACTAGCGAAGCAATCGAAATCGGCGCTATGATTCTGGCCAGCTGTGCGGGGTTTCAGCTCGCGTGCCCACATCTATATGTTCGCAGATCCCTACGTAGACCGCTCATTTCTGCGGTTAACCGTAACAGAGCACCTTTCAAACATTGACTGAAAATGTCTGATCAAAATGTACCGGAAAAGAAGAACCTCAAGATTCTGGTTGCTGGAGTAAGCCTTACAGGAAAATATTGAAATCATACACTATACTGATACTAGTAGGCGGCCGGGTTCCTAGGATCACATCTTGTAGACCTTCTGCTAGAGAAAGGCCACGAGGTAATTGGTCTGGACAACTTCCAAACGGGCTTTCCCAACAACCTGAAACATCTGGTTTCCAATGCCAAGTTCACTCTCGTGCGGTAAGCGGCTACCTGGGCTGTAATGCGTGTGTGTATTATGCTGACTCGCTCTGAACAGTCACGATGTGCGAGCTCCATTACCCGAATTGCCTATCGTGGATCAGATTTATCACCTTGCCTGTCCAGCGAGCCCGATCCAATACCAGAAAGACCATATCGGCACACTTGACACCTGCTACCGAGGGACGAAAAGCCTGCTTGAATTCGCAACAAAACGCAAGATCCGCATTCTATTCACAAGCACATCTGGTTCGTAACGTGAAGCTATCATATATTCCCTGGAGGGGAAAGAACAACTGCTGATTGCGACGGCTGGCCGTGTAGAAGTCTACGGAGATCCCAAGGTCTGTCCCCAACCCGAGACGTACTGGGGAAACGTGAATCCGTTTGGGCCCCGGTCTTGCTATGATGAAGGTAAACGAGTTGGGGAGGCTCTGATGTATGGATATCGGGAGCAGCATGGGACGGACATTCGCATTGCCCGGATTTTCAACACGTACGGGCCACGACTGGCTGCCTCGGACGGAAGGGTCGTTTCTTCATTCATTGCGAGCGCGCTGTCGGGACAACCGATCCAGATCACTGGCGACGGGTCGGCGACACGTTCATTCCAATATGTTAGTGACTGCGCGAACGGCCTTTATAGGTTGATGAATAGTGGCTACGCAAAAGGACCGGTGAATATAGGGAACGATAACGAGAATACCATTCTGCAGTTGGCGGAAATGGTTGCAGAGCTAGTAGTAAGCATTACCGGTCAGCAACCTAAGGTCAGTATCGAATTCCTTCCACCGCCGGTGGATGATCCTGCGACTCGGCGGCCGGACAACTCTCTGGCGCGGGACGAACTTGGGTGGAAACCGATTATATCTCTCGAACAGGGTTTAAGACACACCATTCGGTGGCATATTGAAGAGATGGGCCGTGGTGACCGCCCTGTAGTGCGGCTGTGATACTACGCTCATGGGGTTCTGTTTAGAGGAAAGGAAATACAAAGAGCATACTCAATTTGCCACTTCTCTAGATATGCGCCAACCGCCTCATGAAATACCACTCGATCGTCTCAACCACCTTGCGTGCTTGCTCCATGGTCATTGTGTAGAAGATCGGAAGACGAACAAGCCTCTCGCTTTCGCGGGTTGCAAAGTCCTGTCGGCTAAGAACGTGCCGACCTTGGGTGCCGGGGGCCGTCGAATGCAGAGGGCTATAATGAGCTAGAACTGTTATCCCAGCACCTTTCATCGCGGTAATGAAATCCTTCCGCTGCTCTCCATCCGCCACTTTGATAAAGAAGATGTGTGCATTGTGCTGGCAGTCAGATGGTACCAAAGGTAGAGCAATGGGTGCATCATTGCATAGCTTAGATAATTCCCTGTAGTAGAAACTCCATATCTCCAAACGGTGGTGTTGAATCCGATCAGCCGCTTCAAGCTGGCCCCAGAGGTAGGCGGCCTGTATCTCGCTGAGGGTGTAGCTCGCCCCAGCCTGTTGCCAGGTATAGTGGGGTACTTCTCCTCGCAGGAACATTTGACGGTCGGTGCCTTTATCCCTGATAATTTCCGCTCGCTCGACAAGACTAGGGTCATTAATCAGAATCGCGCCACCTTGCCCGCCTGCGGTCACATTCTTGCTCTCGTGGAAGCTGAAGCAGCCGATGTGGCCAATTGTGCCCAGCGCACGGCCTTTGTAGGTTGAAAACAAGCCCTGCGCCGCGTCTTCCACGACATAGACCCCGCGTTCGTGGGCTATGTGCAAAAGAGCGTCCATGTCGCAGGCGACCCCAGCGTAGTGAACAGGGACGATTGCGCGGGTCTTGTCAGTGATCGCATCCTGCAGCTTTTGTATGTCCATGTTCATAGTCTCGGGCACAATATCCACAAACACCAACGAGGCCCCGCGAAGGAGGAATGCGTTTGCTGTGGAAACATAGGTGTAGCTGGGGACAATGACTTCGTCACCGGGCTGGATGTTCAGAACCAATGCTGCCAAATCGAGAGCAGCAGTTCCAGACGGCGTAAGGAATACTTTGGCGGCTGACAATTTCTTTTCCAGCCAGTTTTGGCATAACATGGTGTATTCTCCATCGCCACTTAGGGTGCCTTTCCGTACAGCGTGCTCAACATATTGGAGCTCTGAGCCAGCTAACGTAGGACACTAAACGGTATCATTATTGTGAAATGTTTGGAAAGGATTGTATGCCGCCTTGTGATTGAAGCCTCTGGCCAAAAGCTCTGCAATGTCTACAAGTGTACCGAGTGTGTATGGAGGGGTTCCAGCTGAAGGCCATGAATATACGCTAGTAAGCTTGGCTGCATGAGCCAGTACTTTGCAAGGACCTTACCACTTATTACACCTACATCGAAAGTTGTATTTTATATTTTCGAACCAGTTTCCTGTAAGACTGTTCTCTAGAGCTTACATTGGAATTTGCCTGAAGTGGAGCTTTTGTTGGGCCAACCTTTCCCGTTTGTTTGACATTAGATCTACCTAGAACTACAGGAATCAGTGAAAGTCACAGAGGGTTTCCTTCGAAAACCTGTTGAACTGATTGTTGGTATAAAGGGGAGAGAGCCCGGGGGCAGACTTATAACGATCTCATATGATTGGTTATGGAATATTCGTCTCTTGATTTATCGGGACAACAGTTGGGATTATTCGTAAGAGAAAAGCGTATATATTAACTGTAAACATTAGAGCAGATGATCCACTTCTGCTATTAGTCTCTGAACATCTATATAACATACCTCAATCAGTTAGAACTTAGAAGCAGTTTTAGAAACCAATGAGTCTATTAGGGATGACGCTTTGTATGTGAAATATACATACACACTAGCCAACCCTAGGTGGCCCGAGCTTTCTGCCCTAACTCATATGTCGATTCGTCTCCCTTGCTCCACGTTAAAAGAATCAATGGCAAACTACTAGTATCAATGTTCCTGTACGTATGCTAGACAACTCTTGTATGTCTTCAAGTTGGTAGGCCATTCGATTGATATTATGCATCTTGCAGTTGCAATATAAGATGGCTAACACAGTAAACTCGCCTTCTTGGTAGGTGAAGTGGCTCAACTTGATATCCATAGTATATGATCTCCGTGTCAGCGCTGATGTACACCAATATGAACGGTCAATGTTTCCGCTTTTTTAAATATACGCACCTCTACGCTGAAAAGCACATCTACACCTGCTGAATGGCTATCTAGGTGATATCCGAAACTCTGAAGGGCAAGATAACGCTGCTCGATCTTCATCCGAGGAGACTAGTCGCTGGGAATTTTGACTCTACTTGAGCTGGTTTTTTAACGAGTTGTTAGCCGGTCTGCGTTATAGTCCGCTCCTTGACCGCGCCAGTGACTCCATATAGTTGCAGATCCTCGGTTGCTATGCTCGGTTTCTTGATACTGAGTCGCGCTGAAAGACCCGCACGGGTTTGACAACTACGCAACAACGAGAATGGTCAATGAATGCAGCGTTGGTAAGAGAACAGAACGTACTCTCGCATTCAATGTGAGCAGGCTCTTTACGTCTGCTATATTGGACTGAGAGTAATGACTTTTGTTCATGGCTGTACCGATAATGATCCTCGTGATCATATTTTGGGGTATCAATCTCATGCTGACGCACACAGAGACACTTGCGTTCTGAAAAGCCTGAAAGAATGCCTCCTAGAACCCTTTTCGCTCAGAAGGAGAATGAAGGATCTCAAAAAATGAGAACACCCTATGTCTACTATGTTTCGCCTTCTCCTACACCTGCCCCCTTTGCGCGTTCCTTGACAGCAATAGCGCTTCCCTTTTTGATCAATACAAGTCCAAAGGCTGTGATGCTGTTTGCGCTATTTGCGACTTCTTTGAATAACGCGATGGATCTATAGAAAATGGAACGGGCTTATGGCAACGGTTTATGACGCAATATATCCCTGGTACGTGTCACCACACATATGGCTGTGAACACAAGGGTTCCTCTGTCTCAGACCAGGTTCACTACAAAGCATGATGATCTCGCCCTGGCCTTCATTTGCATTACACGTGCTTCGAGGTCACGAAGGAAGTCTTATCCCCCTTAGTCTTGAGACACGGCATTGAATGCAGCCTTTTTGTCTCGATTCGATGTACTCGTGACGATCATCTGTGACGAATCTCTAGATATCATTAGACTTGTCTCCCTTACCATAATCTTTGTGTCAACTCCGTTTCTTTGCTGACTTCTTCCTAGCGCTTTGAGCCCTGGATCACACACAGCCCTGCTGAATCCTGTCTTACTCCTTGGTACGTGGCGGGCCCAATATGTAACCCTACAAAAGACTTGAGTCATTCCGTTGACAGTGCATTCCTAGATCAAACACTTACTGTCTAACCTTCCGATAAGATTGGTTTTCACATCTGATACACGGCATTGACTCTAAGGGGCTCTCCCTCAGCACCATGTCTGGAGAGCCTACACAACTAGGTCTTGCTTTGTAATTCCGCATACACAACAAAAGATAGGGAACGAAACTCTCTGTACAAAGGTCGTATAATGACTACGCAAAGCTCGAAACTCATTGATGGAACTATGTAGGCTGGCTAGATGGATATTATGGTCTTTATTGCCTTTTTGCACGTTTATAAATCAAGAAGACTAAATACCCTCCATGCCAACGCTATCTAACGGGTTATCCAACAGTTGATCGCCCAAGCAGGCCTGCCTTCACTTCTTCACAGCCTAGTATTGTCCAAGATGTCGACAAAAATACATGTTGCCATTTATAAACATTCTGAGCCGGGCTGGGATTATACTAAAACTCGACACGCAGGCATTTGGATTGAATTTCCGGATCAATCCCAGGCTCTATTTGATTTGTCAGGTGCACAGAGCTCCTTTTCCTATACCGAACACTATGGCGGTATCCACCCTAAAGATCATCCAGGATGTGTTGGTATTGTTTATGTTGCAACTGCTGCAGAAGAAATAGCGTCAAAGGACAGAATCATAGATGTACTCAGACGAACAGAAGTCAATAACGATCCTAAAGCTGATTACGATTGCCGGAACTGGGTTCATGATGCGCTCGGAAACCTGGAAAGAATTGGATGCTTAACTAAGGAAGAGCGTGCGGCCACTTTGGAGGCTATGACGACGATTGTAATGCAGGCAAAGGATGAGGATAAGGCATACCCGTTTTGTATGTGTAGTCAATCTGGTTTGCATCAAGGTACTAATTTATTCTTAGGATGATCACCGCTAGAAGCGTTTTATCTCCCTAGAGATCAATCAGGTGTTTTGCGGTCGCATGGTAAGATTCCTCTCGGTGTATCCAAGTTGCATTATGAACATCTAGAGTATTGGCATTTGTACAAGACTCGGGATGTAGGGCTCATGGGCAGAAACGGGTCTAGTACCGCACGTGACAGAGGTCGAGACCCACCGTGCCGTTTCTCGAGTGTATGGAGTACGCAGTATACAGGATACAGTACAGTTATGATGTTATGGTGGAGTGGTGGAGTGGTGGAGCCTCGATACATCATCTTCGTCGTATTAGCCTGTCTTAAGCCAATGGAAGATACTTGGATAGACTTAGCATGTTTGATAAACATCACCGATTACAGAGTACTATACCCGGAGTAATATTTATGCTTCTACTGTCTATAAGCTGTACCTGTCTTGTAACCTGGTAGAACCCCCAGAGCGACCGTGAATCCAAAATATCCCAATTCCCATGAAAAAACAGACGTATCTTATAGTCATGTATACTTAAACAGATGATTGGAAGTCCATGAGTGGGGACGGTGTAGATCAAACTTAGTCACGGGCCTGTCACAGTGGGTCACGTTCATAGTCCCTTCTATTGATCAGTATAAAGAAAGACGCGTCCACATCAACACCATGGATTCCTCAACCAACCCCTTTCATCGGACATACTTCTCTCCTTCTGATTCCTTAGTCCCTTTCAGCCATCGTCAATCCTACTACAATCTATTATGCCTGGCAAGCGTGCTAATTCAGCCTCTGCGGCGCAGCCCCGTCCGGCCAAGAGTCCCAAGACCGATAAGAACAGCGGCGACGCGTCCTCACAGCCACCGCCGCGGAGCAAGCGCTGGTCAAAGGCCTGCGTCTCTGCCAACCTAGACGCCGACTATGCTAAGTTCGTGGCAGAAGACTATGATCATGCCTTTTCGTATGTCTGCTTTTGCCCACCCTCTAGTGCGACCGATGAGGAAGACGACGACTGGGAGACAGCGAGCTGTGCAAATGAGGAGCCTGAGGACTCAGCAGAAGATATCAAGTCAAAGCCCAAATGCGATGGCGGCAAAAAATGCTTTTGCCAGAAATCTCCCGCAGGTCATCCCGGATATCCGTGGGTGGCTTCACGTGCAGGCGTGCGGAAGTTCACAAACCAGCGTGTTCATGCGGATATACGCTGCCCGGACTTTTTCGATATGTATGTATATAATGACTTCGCAGGTTTTGGTCTTGTAGAGGTCGCGCAAAACCTGGTCCTTGATTTTGTGGAGGCCGAAGGCGACTGGAAAGAGCAGTGGGCGGTCTGTGAGGCTGTGGGTCTCTCCATCATGGGCGACATGTTCATGCCTATAACACAGTATGTTAAGGATCCCCTTTATACGGAATGTCTCTACTGACAGGTGCAGAATCGAAGATGGAGATCTCGCGAACGATACATTCTGTCTGCTTATGGCGATGTTCCTCACTATGCTTCACAAGCTAGAGTCCCAGGAACTTCTTGGCCCAGATTCGGAAGTCAAAAACCTGGGCTTGGTTATGGCGCTGTACATATGTACAGCTTCCGACATGCATGACTACGGTATTTGCGAAGGCAATGACGATAAGACGAACAAGGTTGCAGAGTTCTATGATGCAGACCACAAAATTCTAGCCTATGCTAAGAAATACAACATTGAGCTGCGCGGCCCGTCTAACATCGACAGTTGTGTTGAAGACTTGGATGAAGTTGAATTACCCCCCGCCAAAAAGGACCCTTGGGGATGGGCTGCTGTCCTTCAGCAGTATGAGAAACTCCACGGAGAGCAGAGAAAGAAGCCTAAGATTGGAGGAATTCGACATGACATCACGGGGATGAGCAGCGCAGAACGCCGGGGGAGCAGCTATGACGGTAAAGACCCTCTCAAAAAGGCAGAGCTCGACAAAATCAAGCAGGGCATGATTCTGCAAATAGCCTAGGATCATCGATGACAACTGGCCAGGCAAATGACCAGACTACTCGAAGTGTACATTTCACGCTATCTATAACATAGGCTTGTTTTATTTCTGGCGATCTTCAGGAGGATCGGCGTTTAGGTCAATGAACACGTATGCTCACGCCATTCCAATGTTTACGGCTCTACAACACGGCGATGTCGTGGTGGAACCTTGAGACTCGCCTTGCGAGGATTTGGAGCTTCAAACACTTCCTCCAGTTCTTCTAGGGTCCGCCCCTTGGTCTTGACAAAAAAGAAGTAGATGAAAGCAAATTCGAAGCAATCCCAGAAAACAAAGAAGACATAGAACCAGTACCCGATCTATGATGGATTATCATTATCAGCTGTTGTCTTCGTGCAAGGGGAACCTGGTTAGACAACCCGCAGGGTTATGAACTTACGTCTGCCAGAGCGATCGGTGCCGCAAAGGTGTTGACAAAGCCCGCGGCACCTGCTGTGAGTTTGAATGTTCCCATACCCTTTGCCCGCATATCGTTTGACATGACTTCACCGGGATAGATAGGTTGCATGGAAGTAAAAGCGAACGCAAATATAACACCGAAGATGTAAATAAAAGCGATCGAAGCTGACGATGCAGTCGTGCTGCCACTGTGAACGAAGACCGCGGCTGTTGCTCCTGTGACTGCCAAACAGATGACCATACCAGCTGTTGAACCAAGAAACATTTTCCGGCGGCCAACAATGTCATGGAAGCGAGTGCCAATCGTGGCAGCAATCCAACCAGTCAATGCATAGATAATGTTAAGCAGTAGCTGGGTGTCGGTATTGGTGACTCCCACATTTTCCAGCAGCGTTGGAAGGTAGTACGAGATGACACTTTGCATGGCACGTTAGTCGTCTTTCTCCCCTACCAAGAAGCACATCTGAGCTGACTGACTTATTCCCAGAGAATTGTCCAAACCAGCTAAAGGCCAGATTGAGCATGAGACGATACCGGCGAGAACGGGACTTGACAAGCACTGAAAGATCGAAGAAATCACGCCAACGTGTGATCCCTTCTCGTTGTAAATTATCTCTCATCTCGTTCATCTCAAGCACCACAAGTGGATGTGAAGCGTCGCCGTTAGCATGATACTTTACGATGAAGGCTTGGGCCTCCTCATGGCGATCCTTTGCAATGAGCCTGTACGCTTTTAATGTTCGTCTTCTCTTCAAAGGAGGATAACCAACCAGCGGGGTGATTCTGGGACAAACCAGATACCCAAGCAGACAAGTCCAGGGCATACCATCTGGAGCCAGAGTGGAAGGCGCCAGTCAAGCTGCCCACGGTGTGCCAAGTGTAGATGGGCGCCATACACGGATGAAGTCGCCAGGATTGAGCCCTAGTAAGACAATCAGATGGTCCTTTTCTTTTCAGAATGAGAGTTGGATCGGTAACGTACAACGTAGTAAAGTGTGTTGTACATTCCAGCGACGCTCCCACGATACTGGGGAGGGGCAAGCTCGACGAGTAACAAGGGAGAGGCTGTGTGAGCGCAAGTCGCAAAGAATGACAGCAGAAATCTTCCCCCGATGAAGACGCTTAGCTTCTCCGCTGTACTGGTGACAACCGTGGCGATGCAGACCCCGAGACAGCCGACAAAGATATGCGTTCGTCGCCCGCGCCAATCTGCCATCCAGATGAAGAGTGCGCCTGCCATCTGGCCAATCTAATAGAGGACAGTCAGCTTTCCACCTGTCTTCTACAGACAGTCATTCTCACCTGGAATATGGAGAACACAATGCCAGTGCTCACGGAGCCCTTATTTGGAAGATGATAATACTCGATATAGTTCGGAAGAGCATTGATAGAGCCCATGAGGCTCGTGTCGTATCCTGAACCCAGCATTAGCTGCCGGTCATGAGTAATCATGGGCGAGATACTTACCATTCATAGTAGAGCACAGGAAGACCAAAGCAGACATGAAATATAATTCTCTATGCCCCGAGCCCCAAGGATCGGGGCGGTTTCCTTCAATAACTTCTGCCAGGGTAAGGGGATCTCCTTGGACTTTGCCATTGGACGGGCCAACTGATTCAAGATGCTCAGGCTTAGGTGGTGCTATATTATGGTCTTTACTTCTTCTTTTCTCAGCCATGCTGTCAGATCGCAAGAGTTCGATCTAAGTCAAACTGGAATGCAGATAATAATACGTCCCAAGCGGTGTTCCTGAGCTTGTTTTATAGTGCTCCGACACCTAGGATACATCCCCACGGGGAAGCCTTTGCCAAGGACAGAACGTCTATCTCCACATTTCCATCTTCGCATTACGTTGCTGCCAATCGTATGAGGCTGGGTGGCTGTGATTCCAGTTGGTTGGAGCTTAGTCCGGATGACAGGATTTATTACCTCCCGGTACCATCGATTACTAGTGCTGTCAACATTGAGATGCCTTGTCGGAAGCGTGGGGGCACAGGGCTTCTCTTCAGATGTTGCGAGCAATAATGAAAGGCGTCGCAGCACCACCTTGCCTTGACCACTAACGCCGTGTCAAATCAAACCTGTCAGTTGTCTTGTTAGGTCCTTCAAGTCTTTGCTATGATAGGGCGCCGGGAAAGTAAGTCACTGAACAGGAAAGTATGAGGGCAAAAGTAATTGATGTGACTTAGTTGCCAAACACAACTCCGCCGATAGTTGCTGGGTTGTCCTCTATGGCAAAGTATACGACGTGAGTAGAACCCGACAACTTTCTCATCAGGCGCATTCCATTTAACAAATCTAGGTCACTAACTTTCTCGAAAATCATCCCGGGGGCTCTGCGGCTATCCTGGCCTTGGCTGGGAAAGATGCAACACAGGAGTACGATACCCTACACCCCCCAGGTCTATTAGAAGAGTACCTTGCTCCTGAGGCATGCTTGGGCGTCCTATCCGCATCCACGTCAGAGGCTGCTGAGCCAACAAGCATTTCCCAACACTCAGCATCTAAAGAGACTTCCGAGGAAGCACCACTATCGTCACTGTTGAATCTCGCCGAGATCGAACAAGTTGCCAAGCGAAAACTCAGCCCAAAAGGGTGGGCGTATTACTCCTCTGCAACGGATGACGGCATCACAAAAGCGCACAACAATCTCATCTACCGTTCGATTTTACTAAGACCACGAGTTTTCATAGACTGCCGCGAATGCGATCTTTCCATCGATTTTCTCGGCCTCAAGCTCGGACTACCGATCTACATTTCTCCAGCAGCAATGGCTCGTCTCGCCCACCCACAAGGCGAAGCTGGCATTGCAGCAGCGTGCCGAAAGTTCGGGGCGATGCAAATTATCTCCCACAACGCCTCGATGGCGACACAGGAAATCGTCGCAAACGCCCACCCAGACCAAGTCTTCGGCTGGCAACTATATTGCCTAAAAGACGTGCGGCGTAGCGAGAAGCGGATCGCCGAAATCAACTCAATCAAAGCCATCAAATTCATCTGTCTCACGCTTGACGCTCCATTCCCCGGTAAACGCGAGATCGAGGAGCGACAAAAGATGGAAGAGCTGCGCATCGCTGGCGCGGCTTCGTCGTCCCAGGTCTGGGGAACTGATGCCTCGCTCACGTGGGAGAGAACGCTAGATTGGCTCCGGATGCATACATCCCTGCCGATTATTCTAAAGGGTATTCAAACTTATGATGACGTTATACTCGCCGCTAAGCATGCTCCCCAGGTCCGGGGGATTGTACTTTCGAACCACGGTGGCCGCGCGTTGGACACCGTATCGACTCCTATGCATGTCCTACTGGAGATTAGGCGCTTCTGTCCAGAGGTCTTGGATCGATTGGATGTCATCGTTGACGGTGGCATCCAAAGAGGGACGGATGTCGCCAAGGCTCTGGCACTTGGTGCTAAGGCTGTGGGGATTGGACGAGCAGCGTTGTATGGTCTTGCAGCGGGTGGGCAAGAGGGTGTCGAAAGGACGCTACAGAGTAGGTTTATCACAATCGCTGAACATGTAGCGAGCTTTTCATAACTGATTTGTCCAGTTCTTGCCGACGAAACGGCAACTGCTATGAGACTTCTCGGTGTTCAGCGTGTTGACCAGCTGTCATTGCAGCATGTGGGTTGCCATGTCCTGACCGTTATACAATTACTAAAATCACTCCAGGTAAATACCCAGCTCGTGGACTCACAGATCTTCAAGTCCGGAAGCTCGATGTCGTCAGTGGAGAGGGCATTTCCAGCCCGCGCCAAATTCTGAGCTTCAATGCTTTCGATATGCATGATAGAACCCATAAGCTTCAATGACATGGTTCCAATAATCCCAAATAAGCACATAAATGCAAATCTATCATAGTCAACTATCATAAATCGAGTTTCCCTGGAATATGAAGTGATCAAAACCAAAGTAAGCAACAGGACATATAACCTTTCTTCCAGAATCGTACTCTAATAACCAGTTCATGTCATAGCGATCTACATCCCCAGTCAACTAGAGTCATCTCCACACAACGACCTCCCATAGAATACAGCAAATTACGCACCAACCGTACGGTCACGGTATCATGATGCGCGGATATAAAACTCCGTGTCTGATATAGTATAGCTCATGCATGGGACTATCCACTATACCCATTTCGGTACGCGGTTTTGAAATGCCGTGTGCCATGTAGACGTGGGATTTGGAGTTGGCTTCGCAGTACTTTGTCATAGCGAGATATGTCTTATTGGTTGTAATAGGCCAAGATCATTATCATTTGGTCACTATGGCTAATTGGATTTTGCGGGGTGAGGGGCAGTGGGGGTCAATATGAATAATACAATATGATATTGATGTTTATGATGCTTTTTTTTCTTTGTCTTTTCTCCTTATGTTTTCTGTTGAATCTTTGTATGAATAGATTTACCTGATCTAGCGCTTCAGCTACTGCAAGCTTTTTGCTGGATAGGTTAAATAACAGCAATGTCCGGCTTCAAGTCGTTTGAGCTCTCGCAGGGCTGGCAATTCCGGGATGCTAGCGATACCAGTCCAGAAGCGTGGCGTAGCGTTTCCAAGGTACCAACGGTTGTGCACCTCGACCTCATCGATCACGGTGTAATACCCGACCCGTTCATCGGGATGAACGAGCTTCAGGTGCAGTGGGTGGGTGAGCGAGACTGGGTATATCGGGTCGAGTTTGTGCCCCCAAAGCTTGAGGCCGGTCAACGGTGCGATCTCCTCTTCGAAGGCCTAGATACTATCGCGACTGTCAAATTTAACGGTGAAACTATCCTTGAGAGCGATAATATGTTTGTTCCCCGTCGAGTTGATATTACGAAACATTTGGTGTCGGAGTCTGGCAGCACCATGACGCTTGATATCTTGTTTGAGTCTGCTCTGCTGTGTGGGCGGGAGCGTGTTAAGCAACATCCCGAGCACCGGTTCATTACACATCAAACGGAAGCTGGGCGGAGTTCGGTCCGAAAGGCTGGGTATCATTGGGGTTGGGATTGGGGTCCTATTCTGATGACGGCCGGGCCGTGGAGACCAGTTCGGTTAGAGACCTATACGGCTAGGGTGGAGGACGTGTGGGTTGAGAGCGAAGTAAGCCAAGATCTGAAGTTATGCCGAGGTCGTCTTAAAGCCCAAGTGTCTGGGAGGCCAGGAAGTAGCGTTCACTTCAAGATTCTACTCCGGAATAAGGTGCTTTTTGAGTCTGAGGTAAGTGCTACGGGGGATGGGTTTGCAGAAACAGAATTCGTGATCCAGAACCCAGCACTATGGTATCCGCGCGGATATGGTCGGCAGGACCTGCATGAAATCTGCGTTAATCTTATTGACAATCATGAGGTACAACATGAGGTCTCCAAGTTGACCGGGTTCAGGAGTGTCGAGCTTGTTCAAGAGAAAGACAAATACGGCCAATCCTTCTTTTTCAGGATTAATGGTATTGACATTTTTGCCGGCGGCTCATGCTGGATACCAGGTGACAGCTTCCTTCCTCGATTGACTCCCGAGAGGTACAGGAAATGGCTCGAATTGTTGGTAGAGGGAAATCAGAATATGATCCGGTAAGTCCTTTGCATCCTCACCCTGAAGCCTTAGCTGCCATTGACGGGTTATCAGCATCTGGGGCGGCGGGATCTTTGAACCGTCCACCTTTTACTCCACTTGTGACGAGCTCGGGATCTTAGTCTGGCAAGACTTCATGTTTGCATGCGCTTCATATCCCACCTATCCCTCCTTTTTGTCGTGCATCGAGGAAGAAGCACGTGTGAACGTCAAGCGTCTTCGTCATCATCCCTCCATCGTGATATACGCAGGAAGTAATGAAGACTACCAGATTCAAGAAAAATATCATCTCGACTATAACTTCGAGACTGACAAAGATCCGCAGTCATGGCTCAAGTCAACATTTCCTGCCAGGTACACCTATGAGTACCTATTGCCGAAGGTTGTAGAGGAAGAATCACCCACGACACCGTACCACCCAACAAGTCCCTGGGGAGGAGGAAAGCATTCAGCAGATCCCACAATAGGAGATATCCATCAGTGGAACAGTCTGTCACAACTCCCCTGTAATGAGAGCTTTCACTAATGCCAACATAGTCTGGCACGGAACAATGTTGCCTTATCAAAACTTTCCAGACGTTGGCGGGCGGTTTGTCAGTGAATTCGGGATGGAAGCGTTCCCGCATCGAGCAACAATCGAGCAATTTATTATAGATGAGGATGAGATGTACCATCAATCTCTCACCATGGACTTCCACAACAAGGCCAGGGACCACGAACGACGACTCGGCACTTACATCCTTGAGAATTTCCGAATCAAATCTGATTTTCAGGTAGGTCGATGGGAATTTTCTGCCTCGATGCTGAAAAAGAAAAAAAAGAAGAAAGCTACAAGTGCTAACTAGACATGTTTCATAAGTCATACGTACATCTCTCTCAGATTGCTCAATCCGACGCTATGAAATTTGCGTATCAGGGCTGGCGCCGACAATGGGGCCACGGCCGCCTCTGTGGTGGAGCCCTGGTTTGGCAACTAAACGACTGTTGGCCGACGACCTCATGGGCGGTGGTGGACTACTTTTTGCGAAAGAAACCTGCATTCTATGTCATATCGCGGACTTTGGAGCCAGTTGCAGTTGGTATTTCCAGAGCTCACAAGGAATGGACATCTGGACATGCCAAACCTGCAGACTCGACCAGATATGAGCTTTGGGCCGTGACCAGCCATCTGAAGCCGACCCGCGCTACGGTAAGCTTACGCTTCATATCAATTCGAACGGGTGCAGATGTGCAGCCAGAAGTTTCGTACCAGGTTGTTCTCGTTCCAAACGGTACAACGGAAGTAGCAAGTGGGGATTTGAGTTTAAAAGACACAGATGCATTTGTGCTGAGTGCCACCCTGAGTATTGATGATCAGGTAATTAGTCGAGACGTGGATTGGCCGCAACCTTACAAGTACCTCTCATTCCGAGACAGGGGTCTAGAGGTCAAACTTCTTCCTGCGGAGAACGCGCTGTCCATCACAGTCAAAAAGCCAGTCAAGGGTTTGGTCTTTGAGGAGAGAGATGGCGTTTGGCTGCAAGATAACGGAATCGACATAGCCCCTGGCTATGAGCACATCATTACCGTCCGCGGAATTCGTAGTTCCTCTGATATTCCACGTTGGACATACCTTGGGGACGACAGCCTATGAGATCCATTATTTGTTGCTGAATGTCGATAGTCAATCTTCTATATTGGGGGTGAGGGTCTTCTTCCAGTGTATTAGAGATTCCCATTCGTAGTCATATTCAAAGCCTTCTGTGGAGAGTCCAAAATTCCATATCCATCTCCCCTAATGCTGTTAGGGTCCCGCTACTCGCCTCGAATTCTGTTACATTCCTGCTGGCTTCGTAAATACTTTCATCCACATCATATGACCGTCGGGCAGCTGCATTCCAGGGAATAAATGACTTGAAAGCTGCACGAGCTTGCTCAATTTCTGAGTGGCAGGGTAGTAGTTCTGATTGGCATGGAAAGGCGAGCAGCATCATCAAAGGGACAAGGCAGGACTGATAGAGATACCAGGTACTGCCCCATACCCAGAATGAGTTGGGTCGCATACAACATGCAATGTTGCGAATAACTTCGAGACTAACCTTTTGATAGTTGGCGATAACTTCTTTGTCATTGTCTGTCAAATCCTCGAATTGCGTCTTATTTTCCACATGGCGTAGAAGGACAGGCCGGAGTAAAAGAATTCGCATGTCCATGTACCGATTCCGCATGTAGTCTCTGACAACAATAAAATCATCTGGGCAGTTTTCAGGCGAGATAGCCGTTAAAGCTTCTACTTTGTACCACTTACAGTTCCCACATGGAAGCTCACCATTACAGCGAATCTTCCGCCGGCGACACTCCACGCAAGATCGATTAATCTTTGGCTCAGAACGGGTGTCTTGTCTAAGATCTGAGCCTTGTGCGACAGACTGCCCAACGAAATCACTGAAAGTATGAAACATGTCGTTCTGATAGCTGAGATGTATCTTTCTAGAGGTGCCATTTAGTTGTTAGCATTGTGGAAGAGTCAGCGAATCACAATGGCATCCGCCAAGATAGGTTAACTGTATCCGGCAGGTGACCTGATCATGGAGCGGCGTATGCATAAGGTACGCCCGGACTATCACTTACCCAGCTACTACTAGTATCGATATCACTGTTAGTGTTAAATGCGATGACAAAAGCTGCTGCTATGTTATTTTCTTTTAGGCCAGCTCACCGCATCTCACTCTATTCTCGGTTGATGATAAGGATTTCCGTACATTATGGAATATCACCTATCTGTACTGGTATTATTTTCTTGTCTCACGAAGCGGGAAAAAATTCTATCCAGCTAGATAGAACTGTTCAGGTTTTCGCTTCAGCCTGGCTACTACAACTAGAGTAGAGTATCTAGTGTGCCTGAGGCTGGAGAGTCGGGACTCGGATGTCTGCCTCAGATGCCGAACTGCTACGCCGTACAGAATACCTGGTTTCTAGAACAGTCGATGTCTTGATAGATGTGTAATAGACACACCTCAACTATACAGGGCTTATGAACGATATTCATGTCATTTGAGACTGCATAAGTACCCGGTGCTTCACAGCATGTGAACCAAAAAGAGTATATACAGTTCTTGGCTGGTTCCTTGCCCCGAGACCCGTTGTCCGAGGCTAGTACGGGGTAGATCCTCTGGGTTCATGTGGGCTGTTTCAAAGTATTTGGAATTCTGGAAAAGAGATGAGCCCCGCAGGCCATGCTTTTTGATCAACTTTAATCAATTCTTATTTTATGTACACTAGATCACTAATCAGACTCCTCAGAGACTAGATTTCCTAGTTCCCACCCCACCAGAACCCACGGATCAAATGATGGAAGTCGGTTACAGTGCGTGTGCAACAGTCTGGACTGGAAAAGATGACAAAGATGACCAATACGGTTAGCCGGAATATGCATTTCCGTTGACGAAATGTACCAAACGGGCAAATCGCCCGCAGCACGATGATGACATGCCGGCTCGGCGTTCTTCCTTCCTCCGTCACGCCCCTCACGTACTGCTTCCTCAAAACCTCATGATCGCTGTATAAAAGCATGCGATCAACCTTAACGTCTACGTCCATCATCTTACGTGCTTTATCATCTCAGAAACCACCAATTTACCTCCTCGCGCATATAACCAGCCCTGTCGCAAGGTCGCAGAGCAGGTATTCTTCGTCAACGCTGTCAAGCTCCGCTAAGCTACTCAAGCATCAACCACCTCGTTTGAGCGCATTTCATACGCACACCATGGCTTCCGCAACCACCTTCTTCGACTTTGAACCTGTCGACAGTACGTTTTTGCTGATAAGCTCCTTGTCAATCCCCTATATAACATACGGGAGTAGTACTAACAGACCTCCTTGCAAATAGAGAAAGGCTCGCCTTTCCCCCTCACCCCGCTTAAGGGCAAGACCATCCTCGTCGTCAACACCGCCTCAAAGTGCGGCTTTACTCCCCAGTTCGAAGGCCTCGAGAAACTCTACCAGAAGCTCAAGACCAAGTACCCCGAAGACTTCACCATCCTCGGATTCCCTTGCAACCAGTTCGGCGGCCAGGATCCCGGCTCCAACGATGATATTCAGTCTTTCTGCCAATTGAACTACGGCGTTACGTTCCCCGTGCTGGGCAAGCTGGATGTGAACGGAAACGAGGCCTCGCCCCTGTGGACCTGGATGAAGGAGCAGCAACCCGGCCTGCTGGGCCTGAAGCGCATCAAGTGGAACTTCGAAAAGTTCCTGATCTCTCCCGAGGGCAAGGTTGTTGGTCGCTGGGCTAGTACCACCAAGCCCGAGTCGCTGGAAGACACCATCGTCAAGGAGATTGAGAAGTCACAGAAGAATGGATCGGCAGCTTCGGCTCAGGCTAAGGAGGGAGAGTCTGAGCAGGCTAAGTTGTCGTGATTTAGTTTTTCGGGGAGTGGGAGTCCATACGTTATACCATACTTCGTTATATGTATCTTAGTAGTGCTTCTTGTATGTACTTTTTTTTCTTTGGGGCACTTCCTGCCCACTAGCATGAAACTAGTGTCATGAGATTATAAATTAATCGCCATTATGCATTAATTTATGTATGCTTCTGTTTATCCACAAACTAGGCGTTGTCACCGCCCTTCGGGATCAGGTTCCGCAAAGAAAGGTCGTACACGACATCCTCAACCTTCTTGACCTGCACGGTGTTACCATTTATCCATTACATAATTTCCGGCATTAGATAAACTTACACTGTATTTAATCCCATCACTTCTCTTGCGCAGGATGTCGTTCTTCAGGTTCAAGAGCTGGAACCCGGCAAACAGATCCTTGATGAAACTTCCAATCTGCACCGGCCGTGCGTAATCCCCAAGAGTGACCGAGTTGACAGCAAGACGAGACTATGAACGTCAGTACATTTTAAGACAAGCAGACAACGAAAAGGAGATGAACAAACCAGTTCCTCGACCATAGAAATCAGGGCGAGCAGATACTCTTCGATCGTCAGATGGAACGCATCTTGTTCCTTAAGGTTGACGGGGACTAAACACCCACATTAGCATCATAGACCAAGGGCGTCAACCGCTTATGCAACATACCATCAAGGAACTTCCCAACCTCCTCAATAGTCAGGAACGACGCAGCACTACTACTCTTGTACTCCTCAAGCCCGCCCAAGTAAGCACAGAGCTCAATAGACGATACCTGATTCACAGTATTAGTCATCGTTACTATCTCTCACTAGGATTAAAGGACATGTAACAAACCAGATTTTGCAGTTCACGAGTCCACACGCCGTTATATTTGTAGAACGGGTGCTTGTCAGCCAAGGCCTTGAGCCGAGTGACTTGTTCTTTCTGGGCAAGGATTTCCTTTGTCGCCTCATCGAGGACAGGTTTCACTGATCTTATTAGCATATTAATCTTTTTCCTCTTTTTGAGGGAGCTACTTACACTGATTTGAGGGTGTGGAATGAGCTCGAGAGAGGATAGCCGTTGTGGAGCGTCCTGTTCTGATATGTTAATCGAGGCTCTGAGCATATCTCCACCCATAATATTAAATGGAAAAAGGATAATTGCAACATTGACGCGACGGACCATTTCTAGCAAGCGTCTGGACTATCTCATGGAGTTCCTGGTAATAGGTCAGATTGAGACTTCTGAAGCTCGAGCGGAAAAAGGCTTGGCACGTACATCGCGCACAGCAGCCTCTTCGTCGATCTTGGACTGGAGGCTCTCGAAAATGGTACGGTCAATCATTTTTTTTTATTTGTGTTATGGTTGAGTGGTCTTGTTGTTCTATATTTTCTTGTTGTAGGTGGGATTGGGTTGATGCGGATGGTCGACCTTACGTCAGGTAAAAATAAAGTGAAGAGATTGTGGGGCCTGAGGTTGTCCGCATTGTTGGCCGTAGTTGAATGAATCTTCTATTGCTATAGACTACACTCTAGTGTCTAAAAGACATAACATACTTACTCAATAGACATTATCCGTTGGAATCATTAATTGTTATGGTGTAGTATTACGAAGCAAAACAAGAATATACATGATCCATGAGGTAGATAGAAAACTGACGGTTTTATGCACCCAAATATATATTCTATGGAATATCCTAATGTCACCTTACTGAGATAAACCGAGGGATCGCGCTTACAGCATAAAGCGGAGAAGATAAGTATACGTCATGAACATTTTTCATTATCTTGATATTGGGCCCGAGAACACAGAGCAGCAGCCCAACCAACGACCGAAGCAAATCAGTACCGGTACCTCGTCGAGTAATCTAGAAATCGATTAGCTCAACATCAATCTACGTACTTGACAGAAGCTGCAACTCACCCTTTGGGCTAACCACGAGACCTCGTCCCTTCTTGGCACCCTTGTAGATCGTCTCAAGAATATCGATCAACTCTTGCTTATCCTCGAGCACCCAGTTCAATTTGTTATTGTTACCGGTACCGAAATCACACATCATGTGTTTGTTCCTATAGAAGAACATGATGGTCATTGGATCGAAGAGTTCGTACATGGTGTTGAACTCAGGGACCTCGTCAATGTCGCAGAGGTAAATCACGGCGAAATCTGGATGGAATGTTAGGTATTTGTTTATCTCACAAGGGTACTTCGTGCGCAGCAGAGCTGGTTTGGAGCTGGAGCGGAAGTCTTTTTTCTGTGATAGTTGGGTGAGGGTGCCCGACTCACTTTTGACCCGCTCGGCGATTTTGAAGAGAACTTCATCTTGGCGCATGCCTGGAGGACGGTTAGGACATCGTCGTAATTTGTGCATATAGCGAAAGGACTTACAGTCGACATCATGGTCGCGGCCAAATCGAATGACCTGTCCGTACTTGTCAGTCTGGGCATATATGGTGACGCGACTGCTAACTAGGTACGTACTACGAGTCGTTCTTCTTCAGAGAGAATGGCCTGGTCGACGTGCCAAGCGGTACGCAAATGCGGCAGGACGACGGAACCCATGGCGACGTTATGGCGTTATTGAGGGAAGAGTGATGTATATCAAAGTGATTGTAATGTAACTTGGGCAGGAAATGATACTTCAATATGTCACGTGCAACAATATTCTTCGACAACAAAAGTAGCTCTATATACGCAGCACATCACTTGGGGGAGCTATATACACACTAAAATGTTCCTCCATACAGTCTACTGGAATCTTCTTCTCCAAGCAGCCGGATATACCGACTGAATTGATGAAAAAGGAGTTCGCGTCTATCGGGGATAGTGTAAGCCCGATGACACTGTGTGGCAAGGCATGCGCAAGCACAGGGGCCCTGCCACGGAGACCAAAAATAAGATTAATCAATGTTGTGTTCCTATGGAACACTTTCAGAGATTAAACTGAAAAGAACAGATACTACACTTGATCTAAGCCAAAAGGCAAAGAGAGCTGGAGAAGAAAAGAAAAAAAATTCTAAAGATCGGGAGGTCTGCAGAGTATTTAAAGGGAAGGGCCAGTGGCCCGTGCGGGGCTAGTCAGCTAGTGTCTTCGTCCTCGGCTAAGCGAGAGGACAAACGAGACAAACTATTACTAATCAGGCGTTTGGTCAGATGATGGCTGGATACCCTAATCACCATCCAGCCCTAGTATGACTTCCCAATCCGGATTAGTCACTCGCACTCGCCGGTGGGATTGAAGGGCTCCACTAGCGAGAAGTTTTAGATCTCCATCCCTCTGCTATCTTCACTCCAGGCGCAGGATACTCATCTCTTTGCGACCAAGACTCCCTCGTCACCAACCCCCCTCAAATCAATCACAATGTCTCCCGCTACTGTATGTTGTCAATCCTGAAACTGCTTTGCTGTTCCCCCTGAGACGGCAGCCAGATGGTCTCTTCACATTAGCTTGTGCAGGATACCGTCCTGGACTCCCTGGGGATTCGACATTATGGAACAGTAGGCTAATCGCAAAATTTCGGTGAATAGGCTCGTGGTCGCAAGGCCCAGAAGGTTACCCAGAAGGTATGTCTTGAGATTAATTCACAAGCTAATCAAACAATTCGACGATCGCTAACATGCTATCTCTGTAGTATGTCATCAACGCTTCTCAGCCCGTGAGCGACAAGATCTTCGACATCTCCGCTTTCGAGAAGTTCCTTCACGACCGCATCAAGGTCGAGGGCCGTGTCGGCAACCTCGGTGACAAGGTCGTCATCTCCCAGGTCGGTGATGGCAAGATCGAGGTTGTTGCCCACATCCCCTTCTCTGGTCGCTACCTCAAGTACTTGTAAGTTGCTCGCATCCGCCGCATGATACCCGCGACCGTGATACTAACGGCCACCCAGGACCAAGAAGTACCTCAAGAAGCAGCAGCTCCGTGACTGGCTCCGCGTTGTCGCCACCTCCAAGGGTGTCTACGAGCTCCGCTTCTACAACGTCGCCAGCGAGGAGGCTGACGAGGATGAGGAGTAAATGTCTCCTCTCTCGGATAAAAAAAATCAAACAAAGGACCAGACTCGAGTGCGCTCACATCAGGGGGTTTCCATATCTGGACGGGAGCGATATCTTAATGGGAGTCGGTGCTTTGGGTCCGGTTTGGAGGGTTATAGATGCGGTTGGTCGGGAGCGCTCCGACACGGCTCTGCGGCGTGATATACCCGCCGGGTTGCCTCAACCTGAAAAGGTGGCATTCCATGGCTAGCCTCGTCGCATCCAACGTGTTGGTGTAATATTTCTACTCATGACGTTACGACTGGTAGATTTGAATTGATCCATCTATCTCCCATTTGCTCCTTATATCCACGTAGACTGCATAGAAATCGCCTTTTGTCGGGTATCATTTAGTAAAATCAGCTATGATGTGGAAATCCTAAGTTAAACCAAATCAGAACTGGTCCTCTTCTGTCCGGCTCCAGGTCCAAGTCGCCATATCGGACCAGTATCATCTGTTGCACCGGCCGGAGGGACAAGTTTATCATCCTGAATAATCCATCCCTTTGTCTTTAACACCTTCCAAGATTCTGCGGCCTTGACCCGGACCAAGTCCCCAGTGGCAATCGCATCCTCTTTGGAATCATGGCCACGATTCCCTCCAGTCTGTATGTGCCTATCAAGGTATTTTCTGGATAGAGTTTTAAGGCTCATGCGGTTGGGTAGGCCTGCTCCGACTGGGTATAGTATAACGGTATCAATAACGGTAGGATGGATAATACGGCAAACGTTGAGGTCATTGTCAATGGCATGCCCTATTAGAGGTGTCTCTGGTTGTAGCAGCTGGAACAACAGAGTCCTTGCTGCTGCGGGAGATTCCACTACTTGTAAAGGCGTTAATTTTACCTCTCCATCCTCGCTGGCAGATGAAATGACCGGCGTAGCTGAGCCATCGTGGGGTGCCGCGTTATTATAATGTTCGGGGAAGACACCAGAAAATCGCGAGTTTAGGTCAAGAATCTCCCCCATAGGCCTGACAATAACATCGAGGAGCTCCTTGCCCTCGGGCCAACTAACAGCCGTGAGCCGGATCAGCTCCAGTCCCAAGGTGGTGTATCCCATCTCACAGTCGAAACATACTGGTGGAAGGGGGCCCTTGTCTGGTTGCGCGGGAGTCTTCTCGAATTGAAGAATGGACGCCAGCCGCTTCGCCTCCGACACTTTGAAGACATGGGTATCGCCTTTGGTACATCCAGAAGAAGTCCCCAGGGTCTCATTGCAGCAAGTGAAATAAGCCTCCTTATGGCCAGTAATATGATCTGTTCGCTTCTTTGGAGGGTAAAACGGCTTGCCAGGGTGGTATGTGCACTGCCCTCCTGTTGTCAACGAACCATCCTCACGGCGGCCAGGAAAGACCTGGAATCTTCCACCACATCGATCACACTTTTCCCATCCTTTAGACTCGATGACCCCTTTCCTTGCGACCTCAATCTCCTCGTCTGTGGGTGGTTTTGTCACGTAGCCATATTGTTCCAGTCCTACAAGAGGCGTGACTAGTCTTCCTGCAATTGCTATTTCCTCTTTGATGCTCAGGCCAGTTGTGAGAACAGTAGGCTTCTGGTCTGCTTCACTAGGCGCTGTCTTGTAATATCTCTCATTGAGATGAGCTTTGACCTCTTTCACCCAATCTTCCTTGCTCATCTTCGAGAGTTTAACAATGCGGAGTTTGATCACGTTGCCGTATACACTCGCATTCCCTTTTGCCGTCTTCTCCTCTTCATCCAGAGCCATCGTGATGAGTTCGTTTGGCGTTAAGATTATGCTTTTATCTTTATTTTCTTTGTCCTTCGCTATCTTGGCATTCAGGGCTGACATAGCAGCATGAAGCTTCGTCAAAATAGATAGCCGCACGCCATGAGACACCGGCGCTTTGGCCAACATCCTAGGATTCAGACTCTCGCGGGGAGCTTTGCGTAGCGGGGGACGTTGCTCCGGTTTTGCAGATGCCGATACCTCGCGCTTCGCTGTTGACAGCTCGGCCTTAGAAGGAGGCGGAGAGACATCTCTAGATATAGACTGAAGTTTCGCAGTGGTTTGGCTTGTTGTTTGGGCCTTAGTACTGGCCTTCTTTGTCGGTGTAGCTTTTTGATCACTAGTTTCGTACTGAAGTGAAGGTGAAGGTTTGTCTTCCTTCTTGGCACTGCCAGCCTCGGCCGTGATCTGAAGCTTTTGTTTCTTGAGGGGTGGCGCCTCCTGAGTAGCAGTGAGCTCCTTTTCTGACTGCGTACTCTTGGCGCTTTTGTCGACTTCTGCGGGTGGGTTGGTAATTTCGTGAGAGAACATGCAAGTCAAGAGAGCGCATTCCTGGCCCTGAGGACAGGGGATATCCTTGAACAAGCCTAGCGGAGTAAACATTGTGATTGTATCAAGGTTGTTGTAGGCTGATCATAAAATGAAAGAATGCAAACTGATGGCATAAATATGGCCGAGATAGTATTTAGGCTCTTACTACTGAGGCCTTGCTGAGGCGTAACTGGTCACCACAGAAGTATGACCACAGATGTCTCAGGCCAATTGCGTGTGCAAGTTAGACAAAGCTGGTCATTTCCAGCATGTTTTTATTCTGGAGTGTTTTCGATCTGGCCTAAATTGGTGGACGAGAAGTAGCAATAGAACGCCAGCCTTTTCTCAGTTCCAGTCGGTTTTAATGAATTACTGCATCGGAAGAAAAGCCTAGTGACCTCGTCTGCAAGGAGGACAGGGTATATAGCATATACCTTCGAGTACAATGAAGTGCATCATCTAGAGAACAGTATATGTGGTGAATCGCGGTGCTTCGAACAAACGATGCAAACGTCGCAAATCTCTTGCCGTATTGGTAAGGCATCAACGTTGATGTATAGCAGCAGTCGACAAGGTACAGATATACTGCGTGCGTGTAGCTGAGAAACACTTCGAATGGTAGATGATGACTATTCGAAGGAATACAAGGAATAAGGGGATTGCGAAATGCTGACTTTAATCATGATGTCAATCAAACTATGCTGCTATCTTGACTGATGTATATATTTCGCAACACAGTAGCATTCAAACCCAAGGGCCACGAGCTTCTATCCATAAAACCACACACGCAGCATGACAACTGGAATGATAACTATAAGTCTTTTGTAATCTATCTCAGACATACCCGCCTAGACCCCCAGATTCACTAGATATTCGCCAGTCTCTTATCGTGCAGCTATTGAGAATAGACCCACGTGATTTCCCTGGTTTGAAACGCTTTGATTGGCCCAAGCGCGCCGGTGTAGGTACGCCATCAGTGTTGCCTCCGATGTTGCACTTATCAGTTCAGCAATCAATCATGCCCCTGAGAAGGCGATGTAGTAGGATCCAGCACTTTGCCATTGATAGACTTTTCCTTCATCTTCTCAACCTATATACCAAAGTCATATACACGAACAGCATTACAAGAAGACTTGTCATAGCGCAGGAACTGAATTAGGCAGACATCTGCTTGGTAATCACTATAGATAACCATCTACAGACGACGGAGAACATCCGTTGATCCTCTACCGAAGGAACTCACAACATATACAGAACATAGATATATACAAGGGACTAGCAATCCTTTCTATGAACTATGGGCCCAAGTAACCACCAGGAGGACGAGAGCGGCATTCCGCGGAAAGCGACCACCTTTGTGTCTTGATCCATGGGTAAGGGCATGGTATCGAACCGGCCACCACGACATCTGCTAATAAATACTATGGCAGATTCTGGGGCAACCCCTCTCATATGGACCACCTAGCAGCGTCACTGCGCCAGCGATACAGTGAGGACCGCCTCCACGTTCTTGTCGCAGAGCGCAACATCGGAAATCTCACATACGATGGGATCGAAGTCGGCGGCGAGCGGGTTGCTCACGAGATCGAAGAAACGCTGGGTACATTAGCCGACCAAGGATGTCCTATCCGGAAACTGAGTGTCGTCGGGTACTCATTTGGAGGCCTGCTAGCCAGATATGCAATAGGATTGCTCGACGCACGAGGGTGGTTCGATAAACTAGAGCCAGTCAACTTCACAACCTTCGTGTCGCCACATGTTGGCGTGCGGATTCCCCGACAGGGTGTCTGGGGCTATATCTGGAATAACGTAGGGCCCCGGCAGGGGTCTATATCAGCGCAGCAGTTGTTCTTGGTTGATTCTTTTGGGGACTCGGGGCGGCCGCTGCTTAGCATTTTGGCGGATCCGGATAGTATCTTCGTGCGGGCTCTGGCAAAGTTCAAGAACCGCAGTCTTTATGGGAATGTTGTCAATGATCGCACTACCATCTTCTATACTACCACGCTTTCGTTGGTGGATCCCTTTCGTGATCTGGGCGACGCGCAGGTTAATTATGTTAAGGGGTATGAGCCTGTTGTAATTGACCCAGATATGTACTTTCTGCCTTCGGCGGAGGTGAAAGAGTCTTTGCCATTGGCTTCGCGTGCATGGGGGCAAATAACGAGATTTTTCACCACGGCCTTGTTCTGGGCCTTTATTGCTCTGTTCTTATCCATCGTCCTTCCGCTTTTCTTCTTGCACTCTATCTCCCAGTGGTCCCACAGTCGAGAACGAGTCCGGCTACACGAGGAAGGAGAGAGCGCAACGCTCTTCAGGCAATACCGGTTGCCTCACGTCATGGTAAAGCAAATGCAAAGCGCCATAGAAGAAGCATACGAGGACGTCGGGTTCAGCCAGGACCCCGAATATCTCTCCACCACAAGCAACAGCAGCTCAGCAGATTCAATCAGGCGACGGAACTCCCCCAGTCTGAAAGCGAAAGAAGCTGCAGGGCACAAACCCAGCTCCAGCACCATCCAAGAAGCTTCCCCGCCAACACCAGAGCATGGCCAACCAAACAGCACCCGCGAAGCAACTGCAGATGATGCCATCAGCAAGAAGGGCCGAGCATATCCCACCCTCGCCCTGACGCCAGCCCAGCTCTCCATAATCGAGTCGCTCAACTCCGTGGGATTCCGCAAATACCCGGTCTACATCCACAACCATCGACATACCCATGCAGCAATCATCGTGCGGGCCCCTAAGCCGGGCTTCGACGAAGGCAAGGTAGTCATCAAGCATTGGCTCGATACAGAATTCCAGATCTAAACGGGGACCCATCGAAAATGCGGGGTGCGGAAATAGTCGCATGTTTGCAAATCCCATCGAGTCCTCGTATAGGAAACATCAGAAGAGGACACGGTTAGTAATAAGCGTCCTGAATGGATCCGCCCCCGCTCCAACGAGCGCCGGTGCTTGTCCGGTCCTGGGCATGAGGGGTCAGTGGTTCATCCTCGCCAATATCAACCTGCTTTATACGTTACTACCAGGAGTAGCGCATATCCATGGTTCTCTATACCCAAGCAGAAGCGCAAGGCTGAATCAAAGGTCACCAATACACTCTCCGATCCAACGGTAGGCGGGACCCGCCCTCCATGAATGCCCCCGGGCTATTCTCGCGCTCAGACAAAATTAGACTAGATGACCTCTTCCGCTGAGTTCCTCCTCCTGGCGCTGTGACGTCTGCTTGCATATCATAGGGTATGGTGCAGTGCTATTGAACTTAATATTCGGAATTGCCTGTTCTGTCTCTCCCGATGCGTGTGAGGCTTCAAAAATTGGTCTCGGCGTTACGGATGCTACGGTGCTTGTAGGAGGCTGATTCGACGTCACGCCAGGTGTTCATAATATGAGTCTCTACTATACCATGAAGGACGTGCGTTTATGTCATTGATGACGTTTAGTGAGGAGAGATGGAGGTGGTCGCTATAGACCAGCTGAAACTATTTGTAACTTTAGATTGTTGTCCACAGCATGCTGATAGATCATAGAAACAGAGCAGATGATGGATATACTGTCCATAATTCAATAAATCACAAAGTCTATCGGGTCGCACATATCTGATCGCCGAAATGGCTTTCATGGTACTGTGAACCTAAACGATCGTCCTAGGATCAATGCGCACTGAATGACATCTATCCCTGATCTTTGGAAATTCGTGTCCGAGAAGTAGACCGAACATAATGGTGTTGAAGCAACCAAAGATGAAAGCAGACTGGCATGCCTGGGAATCATAAAGCATTGTAAACTGAGAAACAAACTGTGCACAGCACGAAAGATAAGAAATATATAGATGAAATGGGATATCAATAAATGTAGATTTAGATGAACGTAAAATCCAAAAGTTTCCTGGTGAATGCCAATCAATGGTTCTTAGCAGACTCCGAGTCGATGCCGGAGTCGACATCATCATCTGCGATGGCGGACTCGTTGGCCTGCTTGCTGAGTTCACGTTCCATAGCAAACTTGACAGCTTCCAACACATTGTCGGTAGTCTTCTTGGGCGGGTAGCGGGGAATAGTACCCTCCTGGTAGACACCTGTCTTAACAAGAATTGAGTACCAGTGGGAGTCACTGATCTTGTCGAACTCGTTGGTACCACGGATATCTGACTCCGGGGTGTCACCGACAAAATAGACGGTGTTTGGCGGACTGTTGATACCGTGGGTGTCCTTGCGCCACTGGCGAAGGAGGCGGGTGGCGAACTCATATGTTCCCAGTTGAGGCTTGCCAAACGCAATTGTATTTAAGTCCTTTCCAGTGACGGCTTTGTAGAGCGCCTCTAGAGAAGCCCTGAGGGCACCCATGCCAATACGAGAATGCTCATGAGAGGTGGACCACACAACATCATTGTGGGAAAAGAACACGGGTGGACCCTCGTCGAAGGTCTCAGAGCGTGTACCGAGACGTCCATTCTTCGACATGAGAACGTCTAAAATGATCTGCTGATCACCAGCCCAGTCTCGGCTGTCGGCAAAAACGAAGATGGCATCAATGTTGGTTTGACTGAAATCTCGGACGCGAGAGTTCTTGTACTCCTCCTCTGTCAAGCTCCGGAATGGGGTAGTGTCGTGCCTCGTCTTGATGATATCCCCCGGAGTGATGACATCCTTAAAACCATAGCCCTCGGCGACAATGCGGCATTTCTCGCCTACACCACCAACGACAAGAACGGTATTGTACCGCGTCGCCATCTCCCGCATGGGGGTGTGGCCACAAATGAATTGACCCGGCGAGACTTCCAGTTCAAGTTGCCGGCTTAGATCCAAGCATCGTTCTTCTTCAGTCTTGCCTCCGCCATTTGTGACGAAGATATAAGGTCTAGAAGAAAGGTAAATTTTTAGTTTATGCCATGGCACGCAATTTAGTAGACAATGTCATTTGGCGCAAGGGAAAATTTCTATAGAGAATGCTTACATCTTAATTCCATATGGGTTGGCTCCATTGATATATTTGAGTGCCTCAACGGCCGCAGGGATCGGTTCCCCTCCCCTGATCAGAACGCCGTCAATATCAAAGGCCAGCGCAAACTCATCGGTGGTGGTCAAAGGCCCTCGTGGGACCGGCGACGCAACGCGGGGCGACCCCTCATCAGATGAAATCTCATCATCTAAGTGTTGCTTGGCCATTTCCATTGCGATAGCCGTTTCGTGAGAATCAGTGGTGGCCATCAAATGCTTGGGAGGAACGACCACATTGGGGCCGCCATAAAGGTCGGCTTGCACGGCGTCCAAGCTGGATAGCCGGCGGACCCTTTGGGCACCTAGACCGTCGGCGGTCGTCATCTTCGTTCCTATAATTGTGGGTAACACTACGGATGACCTCAGATAGTGGAGGCTGTGGAGCGCCCTGTGTGGGACCGGCCAGCAGAAGGCGAAACCGTTAACGCTGAAGATCGATCACCACTTCTATCGACGAGATCGTCTCGAAGCCGAAACCACAGCTCGATAACGAATCAAGTTTTAAGGCAATCAATGGGCAGGGTTCCGTGACAGGAACCAGCTTCTACCAGACAATGGAATAGAGAAAGAGAAGAGAAGACCGGGATTATGCAGCACTCTAAGAGTCTTTAATAGAAGAAAGAGGGAGTGATTGACCAAGTGGAGTGGAGAGAGAGGGTCAAGGTTGCGAGGATGAAGCCATTAATATAAAGGCAGGGCACAGCGGGTGGAGTGAAGAGCAGCGCCTGTTTGGTTCATGGTCAATGCAACCCGTGGCTCCAACATCAACCGCGTCTGGACGAATGCCTTTTAGAAATGGAATCATGCATTAACGTGCTCAGGGAAGAGACTCCTCCGAAAGGAAAGTTTACCGTAGCTCTCCGGTCCATTCCAGGCAGCGACAGCATGATTGATTATTTGTGCTGAAGGGATGCCACATTCTGATTTGCTCGACGCAATGATCAAGGCGCCCACCGAGTCGTAAACCATAGGACGCCGGTGCTCGATCGCTCGAAGATGGTGGAGTTGATGTGCAGTAGAGGGGTATCAAAGTGGATCCGCGCAGGAAGGCATCCTGACAATTATCTTCGGATCGTCGTTGATATCATCGGAAAGGAAGATTGGGAGAGTGGCTGTGGTTACGGAAGATGATGTGGGTGTTTTTCTTGTTCTGTGGTGGTGGTGGCTTTACCCTTTACGTTTCTCGATACGTCAATTCATACGGAGTACCTCGATTACCTTTTGGTCAGATAAAATGTACCATGTCCCACGGTGTCTTCTGTACCGTAGTACCAGTACCGTACAGGCAGTACCGTGTACTGAGAACAATCCGCTCAATGGAATGCATGCCTCAGGTATGGAGTTGATCATTGTTGATCTCTGGTTGACAGCTACAAGAATATGGAGAGCATCGTGAATCTTGGATCCACTTCTCCATACTGTGGAATCGTTACCAAATTAGAAATACTACATACACAGTACAACACCCGACCAAACATGGCAGAATCAAAAGCATTCTCTTCAGCACATGAATAGTTGGAGTCTGAGTCATTTATTTTATTAACTAGTATTATTATTATCTAATTTTGATTTTCTTTTTTCGTTTCATCTCAACTTCCCTCCCCCTTCGCTTCCTTCTCTTTGTCTCAACCATCCATCTTCGCCCTCCTTCACACACCCTCCTCCGAGTTCCCCCCCAAAATGAGGGAATTTCTCATCTTAACAGCCGCCCCTGACGTCACTGCGGGCGATATCTCCGAGTAGAATGTTTGAAGAGAAGCATGCAGTCAATATCCATTACGGCGATGGCGCAGGCACAGATACCAGGCAACCTATGAGGGTTGGTTGCCCAGCCGAGTCCCGCGGCCTAGTGAAGAGTCGTATGCGTTCATTGGACCCAACCCCGAAAGATCCTCGCCAGAAAAGACGCTGCTGCGCTGCAACGTCCTGAAATGGTTTACAAGGTGCGGCCATCAGCCTCAGTCAGCCATTTTTCGAAACCTTGCTGCATGTGATCTTGACGGGATGACTTGGCCTTAGCGTCTGTCTGTGGGGTTGGGACCAGCGTCGCCATTATGGCCAAAGTCGATAGTTAGAATCCCTATCGCACAGTATGGAATGTTGCTTCTTCCTTGCTATTTCTCTCGTTCTCTTCGCTGAGGTACGTTACCGGCGTCTGCAAGAATGATGTGGCACCGGCATGGTATGTGTGCTCTGCTTTGAGAATTACCTCCGATGGTTTGCGATAAGCGAGGTTTGGCCCCCTCTAGTCTTTGTTGTACTTGTCCAAAGTCTATTCGGTAATTAGATTAAAGAACGGAACAAAACAAAGAAAGAAAGAAAAGTCTGAGGAAGATGAATAAGTAGTCAGGTGAGCAGTATACTACAAAGAACCAGTCCATCCTCCATGCTCAACACTCTCCAACTAGGTACCCATCCGAAGGACATACTTTTCCCCTCTATCATTATCAAGAAACGGTATTCTATGAATATATACATAGTACACGGGCCTTCACCAGGAATTCAGCCACTACATACTTTATGGAAAGAACAAATACAACAAGAAAGGAATGAACAAAGCTGGTCGTCAGTCTACCCGAAGGATCAAGTCAGAGCCTCTCCTTGATGGCGTCAGGTTGCGCTCTGATGATGAACGCTTTTTCTTTGCCATGCGTCCCTGTATCTCCGTCGAGGACCGGTCACCAGACAACCTGTACGGTCTAGGTCCGGACGGAGAGCTACGGCTATGTCCATTCCAATAATCATCTGGTGAGTAAGGAATGGTCAATTCCTTGGGCTGTGGCTTGCCTCGCCGTATTTGCACGCGTTTGATATCATCACGCCGCACGATCCTAGGCCTAGAGACAATTTCCCGGGCTGGACTAACGGCCCGGGAAAACGGCATTCGGGGAAACTTTACAGACGCATCTTCGTCGAAATAGTTTCGTCGCTGGCCGTCATTCTTCGGTGTTCGAATTTCTCGTACAGGAGTGAGTGGTCTGAAGTTTCCAGAATGTCGAGACGTTCGATGGGACCCCGAGCTTTCATTAATATTGATGGTCTCAAATTCGTCACTGGAGCTGTCTAATAAGTTGTCTTTTGTGTCGACCTCCTGATCTAAATGACGAACTGCGTTGCGAGATACCGGTGGCTCAGGAAGAGCTCTAGCAGTCTCCACATCAAGGCCCCGCAAGTAATCACCGACATACCCATTGCGCTCTGTGTTGTACGGCTGTGGACCTAGGGGTGATGATTTTCCGTATAAATCACTTTGATAAGGGACCTGTACCCCTTCACCAGCACTAACATAGACTGGCTTTTTTGGACAGCCTGAACCGATGGGAATGACGGTATTATTCCGCGCTCGAAAGGCATGAAACAATGCACGTGGGTTATCAGGGAGCCCTACTCTTGGGGGCCGCTTGTACTGCCGATTATTCCTGTATGGAACTTGCATGTTTGCATATGTCGGATATTGCCTGTTACCACCAAGGAAACTCCTTGGTCTGGTGACATCCTCTTCGAACAATGTGTCACCACTAGTGGGCCTTGTGTATTTCGGTTGACTCAGCCGCAATGGTTCCGGGCAGAGTGTGTATACCGGCTTGTCAGGCAATAGGTCGGAGACTGTCCGCGGGGATGACTGACTGACAGAGGGCTCGAGATCTGAGCTAGAGGATATAGCAAAGCCAATCCTTCCTGGGCTGTCTATCCCCGTGGAACCATAACGATAGTCGTCACCCGGACCTGTGACAACGACTGCTGGGTTCTGAGGACCAGGCTGAAATGGAGACATAAGTCTAGAAGTCTCCGTGTCCCCGTGTCCTGCACCGGATGAGGGGTTGGGCCCTGGAGTCGGACGTCTTGGAGGTAGTGAGAAATCGGGTGGTTCCGCCATAGCACCTCCAATCTCAAAGAAATCATGGTCCTTTGGTTGCTGATACCGCCGTTTCATTTTTCTGCAACAGAAAAATACTATAACCCCAAGGATAAAAAATCCCGCAATACCAGAAGAAACTGACACCCCTATCACAGCACCTGCATTGAGACTACTCTCCTTACCGGCAGCTGCTCCCGATGTTGCATTGTGGGTTGTCTGTGAGCTGCTAGCAGTACTTGAGGTACTTTGCTCGGTATCCGTTGCTGATACTGGACTTTGAAATGTGGTGAAGGTAGTCGATGGATGCCCGGTCTGCGGTGGTGTAGGATCCGTCGGGGTAGTCAAACTAGAATTAGGCGAGTGTGTCTCGGTAGCGGGAACGCTCGTAGGCGATAGTACAGACACAACCGTGGCAGTGATTGTAGCATGTGTACGAGGCAACGCTCCGGGTACCGAATCACAAATGCTGTAGACACTTGAATTGAGCGCCACTTCAATTGAGCAGAACGAGAAGCCGCAGCGTAAGGCCGCCTCCCCCAGCGTATAACCGCTTTTTGTATTCGTTTTACATAGACAGCTGATATCTGACACAGACGAGCACGCATTATTCGGATAATCAGTGTTTATAAAACTCTCGACGCAGTTTAGAGCACAATCGGGTACGGTATCGAGCCGGGCTGCCGGGAGTTTCTGGCCATATGCGCCTAGAGCTAGCAGAGGTAGAGCTAATGACAGAAATAGGGTGGGTAGCCGTTGAAGAAGAGATGATAACATATTGCAGTACCTGATTAGATCCGAACTCATCAGAAAACCATACAACTCCAATGCAGAAACTCTAAGGGAAAAGAAGGACAGAACGTTAATTAGCTTTATAGATATCATCAACTCACCACAGCCTCAATATCGCAAGGTGATGTCTGCTTCAGGAGTCATATCCACTTATAGGATACCATGCTAAGGAAGTGGACAAGGTGAATCGGATGAAACTTGACGGTATACAGTCGCAATAGTGGCACAGACAGTGTAGGCAAGGTGATACTGCAGAGATGTGAGGTCAGGACTGAAAGGGACGACATGAAAAAGTCCATGATTAAAGCTTAGCATGGTCAATGCCATATTGAGGTCATCCTACTCCCTGCGGCGTCAAAAAGATCATCGTCTCTCGTCATGGCGCTGAGTGGCCATGGGCAGAGAAAGGCCTGGATCTGAGACGAGCCCCATCAACAACACATCTGTAAGCGCCCTCATGAAACGTAAATAACCTTTTGACTTGACCCAATTACCAGAATAGCCTGTAAAAGCATGCATTAAAGTGGGTAAGCGCTTTGTTTGGGCGAGAGGGACGCAAACAAGCTCGGTACGCGCCGTGTTGGCGCCGATGCTGCAGAGCCTACGAAGCATGATGTCAGATCCGCCGACTCCAAATATAGATGACTTTTTGTAGGTCGCAACACATCTAACCCTTTGGTGGTACTATGGAAGACCGAAGGACTGAGTTGACAAATAAGAAATATGACAATTTTTCTATCTGATGAATGGTGAGTGCAGTCGATTCAGCCTTCATCGTTATTGCGTCCCCAAGACGTACACCGTAATAGGAGCTTTATCATACGGCACAGGCGAGGAAACCCATTTCAGAAATCGTCATTAGTACTTAGAGCTACCGAGTGGTTTTTTCGTCATCCCATAAGATCGTACCTGAAGAATCCTTCGCCTTCCTGATTGGGCAATACCCACATAAGTCCGGGGTATAGGAACTAAAGCTTATTTGAACCCTTCTTAGCTGGCTCTGATAATACCTTCCTTATCGCAAGGTTACACTCTAAAGCGATGTATGGCTCCAGCTGCTTCTGACCACCGAGGATTAGACCATAGAATAGTCGCATCTCTCCCCTACTACACTCACATTATGGAACGGAGCATCTACTATGCCATGCCATAATGTCCGCTAGCTGACCATTAAGAAAGCATCCCGGTCTGCATAATTTATTCAGTCTCGATTACGGTGGATGGGTCTAATCTATCGATAACCTACTGGCTAACCCTAGCTTCGATCAATTTGGTCTCCTACGCCGGAAGCTTAACTCGGGAGAGTATCCCTGGGTTTTAGTGGGTATGTCCTGCAGGGTATACTCAATTGGAGTATGCTACTTCCACAAGCATCGTGGCCTATGCTTTTGTTCCTGAGAGCGCCAGCCCCGGTGGTGGTGTTGGCTGGCTCAGATTAGTGCGATGTATTGGCTCCGAGAGGGTTTACCCTTTTCTTTTCGAATCCTATTTATCTTATTATTATTTTCTTTCCTCCATTTGGAAGCTGGAACTATGTTCAATATGCGAATATATTTGAATGGTATACCTAAAGTGAGGACGATCAAGTTTGCCATAAACACTTTGTTGTCACGATTGGTTGCATAGCCATGCACTATAGAAAGAATCCCATCAACACTTCCCAGGAGCCACAATTGCGATGTTTCAAGATAGAGGATGTAATATGCTTCGTACGTACCCCGTACGTAGTAGATTCCTGGAGTGTGATCTGCGTTTTGTCTTAGTAGTGGGTATTCGGTACTTAAACAAGTTAATAACAAGATATATAGTATAGCGTTGGTATCCACTTCTAGACCACCAGGCACGGGAGTCTTAGCTCGTAGGCGGTTTAGATCAAGGTCGCTGACAAGTACCTTGTTGCACTTTACAGAAGATAGTATTAGCACGATCACAGACCAAAAGGTCTTATCAATTGCCATTAATCATTAAAACTAATCTCACTGACAATACAGCAAAGTAGAGCCCAGTATCGCAAATGAGCTGGTATCATCCGAAGCGAAAAAAAACAAAAACAAAAACAAAACAGAGCATGGTTAACATGAGAATAAAGGGAATTAGGAACAATCCAAAACGCCATCGCAGCGAGCAAGCAGCGTTGCAGACCGCTTAGCGCCGTCGCAGTCGAAGAATGGATACACGGGGGTTGCCAAGTAGTGGGGTTACTTTAGGGTGGCTTGGGCCGGAGCGCCGCGGAACAGTGCTGACAACATCATGGTCGCGAGTTCGATCACAAAAGCTGGTATCTCATGCTATTAACCGCAAAACGATGTATTTCTTTTCGACCGGGCGCTGTGAACCAAAACGGGCATGGCGACAGAGATGTGGAGAGCTGTCTAGTACTTGAATATAATGTACCTGCGAACAAAATTAGTAAAACCATAACATGCAATTTCAATGCAAGGCAGACACATACAGAGCGTGAATGATACCAGGAATCCAACCCAGAATGGTCAAACAGATGTTGATGAGGAGATCAGCACCGCATCCCCGCTCAAGGAAAACACCCAAGGGAGGGAGGATGATCGCGAAGAGGATCTTGCAGATATCACTGGAATTAGGTTGGTTAGCTGAGCCCTTATTTATAATTCGTTCCCCGTCCTCTTTATAGGTACAAAGCGCAACGATGGGATAATAAAAGGGATGACTCCGGGTGAGGGTGGGCAACCGAGTGCGACGGCAGCAGGAGCTCACTTACGAAGCAGTGAAAGGCATGGTGACGAAGGAGTGTCAACGAGGAACGTGTGTAGGTTCTATAGACAGGGTAGACAGTGGTCGGTGATCAAATCAGTAAAATAGAACCGAGATAGGAGTAGTAGAAGTAGTGGGAAGAATGGGGAAGATTTCAGGAGGAAGGCGGGAGAGAAGCGATGGGCTCTTTAAATGATTTAATAGATCATGGGCGGCAAGATAACGTGAGAGCACCTCCGCTAGGGTAAAAAACGCCCCAAGGCAGTACTAATTTTTACTGGACTCCCGATGGGGCTTGGGACCGGGTTAGGCTAAGTGACCTACTAGTTAGATGGCTAGGTTAATTGGTACTACTAAGGAATTCTTTCTTCTTCGGGTGGTGATGGACCAGGTAGTATTTCCCCTTAGTCAAGACCATCAGGAGAAGGTGATGCTTCATCGGTTCTGAATAGCTACGTCATACATCCTCCGTCAAACTGTGGCTCTGTGGCTCATAGCTCCTTCTTCCCTATTCCCATTGGATCAATTCCCCATGATGTGCATTAAGAACTTCCCGCTGCCGAGCCCTCCGTTCCAGCTTTCTTGTCGGGTGACTTTTGCGTCGTGGTCAAGTTTGGCAAAAGAAGGCATGGACATACATACTTCCAACACAGGTGGATCTATGGAAAAGGGTGAAAATTTCAAAATGGAGCGTCCCTTAAGTTCATGGTGGCTTGTTATCCTTGGCAGCGCGCTACCTAATTATACGATCACAGGCAAGGGGACTGTTTTTTAGTCGCCCAACCGCTATGTCACTATGACTATCTTTTTTTTTTCCCTCTTCAGATTCCCTCTAAATTCTGTTGCCTGGAAAAGCTTGGCGGTTCCAGGCTGAACAGTTCTCTATACACTGCAAGTAAAAGAAAAGAAAAAGAAAAAGAAAAAAGTTCATTTTAGAAATAAGTGATAATCGTCATCATATATTCAATTGTTTCTATTTTTGTTTTTTCTGATAAAGCGCATCAAGTTCAGGTCCGGATTGTTCGATCATTGACTGATGTCAGGGCTCCAGGGAGCACGGGTTTAACAAGCTGTGGGCCGCACAGCCCTATGGCCTTACAAGTCAGGCTTAGTACTAGTACTGTACACAGTATGTACGGAGGACATACTCCATATACTACGTCGTAGGCTATATGGTCTAGTATATGTTCTCTGGCCTCCACCGCTACAATTCCCTAGCGCCGGGATTTCTTGCGAACTGATATCATATCCTCAACGACGCTCGGGATTTACTTGCTTTCGCTGTACCTCCAACCAGGTTGTTTTCTGCAGTTCTATATAATGATGTACACGCGGTATACGTCATGGGAGTATCAAGTTTACTACCACGCCAATGAGCTTCAGGAATACAAAGAGTGGAAACAAGGGGACGATGCATTAATTACACCACTCAAATGATAGGCTTACAGACCTCCAACGTTTCAAACGGCGCTACGCGAACAATCAAGTTAACTATGGCTAATTTACGATGTACAAGGAATTCCGATTTCCTTTCTACAAGTAGACAAAAAAAGATGAAAAATAAAAATAGAATAAATATATCCAATCAGCCTCGATCAACTGCGCCAGGATTCCTCACCAACCTTAGCCTCATCTTGACACCACCTTCAGAAAGACCCTTCTGATATCCATGGGACGATATGGCTTTTCTTCCACCGTATCCCTTATTCCTTTCACCATATACCAGCTGGTTAAGTTGTTGAACTTGTGCGATGTCCACACCTAAAAAGTACATACATCTGTAAAAGGGTAAATTTAATGGTGGGTAATTAGTACTCGTGGGGAAAGCTCTCCGTCTAGAACTCCAGTGTCTTGGCAGCCAACTCACTTGTCCGCGGAGGAAAACAAAAAAGTGTTTCCTACAACCGAGTTCATGAGACGGTCTTCCCTACTAGTCAATTCTGGGCGCAATTACTGAACGTTCATGATTCCATGTCGGTGATACTCGGGTCCCTCCCGCCTGCTATCCCAGCACGGCTAGCAATTAAACCAAATCCTTTTCCACTGATGTCCAGCCATCGTCAACTTCGGAAGTTGACCCCGTATCTACGGAAGCGCAGTGTTCCACAAAGTTGCTTTGCAACGCAAACAAAAGCAGCCGCAGATGATCGTCTTCTTGCTCACACTTGGTTAACGAGGACTCCCGAAGAGATTGTAAGCCTTCCCGGTGTTGCACGAAGGTGCGACTAGCTAAACGTCGAAGAGACTCCAGATGACGTCCTTTCGAGCCTTCCTTCTATACCACTGTCGCTCGCAGGGCCGGACCATATTCCTATTCTCCTCTTAACCCCTAGTCTTGCCCAATGGGCCGACACGACCAATCCCTTCCTCGAACAATGCATCAACCGACTCTATCGCAAGGCTCCGACATCCGGTTCCCCCGAACCTGTACACGCCATTGTCGCAATTGTTGATAAATTGCCCGATACTCCATCGGGTCTCCAGGATAACACCGACAATGGCGCTGTGGCAGAGTCGGAGGGGATCTCCCTTCTATTTGCGAGGACGGCAAACTTACAAGGGAGGGCTGCTGCACCTCGACGCATCAGGAGCTCGGAAACTGAGGAATCAGCCCTCGTATTTTCCTTCCAGACGGAAGTGTCGTATGACTCGGATAATGCGACTCTCCGACGAGCTGTCCATGAGGTCGGGCTGCGCCTCGCCAATACACTGTTTATAAATGGCAGCGAAAATACTCTACATGGGACTCGTTGGTCCTATAACCCTCCTTCATCCAGTTTTTCCTTCGATCGATCGATCGAGCTTTCACGCTGTCGAATATCCTCTACTGCAAGTTCTGTACACAACACATTGAAACTTCCTTTGCATCCCGTTGGCCAGCGAAGGGAGGTTATCTCCAGCATGGGAAACATCCTGCGTCAACTAGCAAAACATCCAAACGGTACATCGAAGGATCCGATGCCCGCTTCGTCTGAACTAGAGAAAGAGCTGCCACGCTACATTGAAGAACATAATATTGCTGACCGCAGGGTTTCCGTTTGGGCACTGGTCGAGTCTCCTTCGAGCAACTCACAAGTCGAATCCGATGGCTTTCGGACCGAACTTGTGAGATCAGTTCAAGCCGGAGGTAAACTCCACCGGGTCATGAGCGGCGGTGGCGGATGGGGCAAGAAACAGGGCCTTCTGTCACTTGATTACGAGACCAAATTTCTAGGACCTTACGAGAGCAATGAGTTTACAACTTTGGATAACATATTCTCCCCCTTTGGCACAAGCACGGCGCAAACTGCGCCACCTTGGTTTGAGGAGAAACCTGTTGTCGATGACCTGACAACCCTGTCACAAGTGGCTAGGCCCGGGGACTACATTCAATTTTATGTTTCTGTCGAGCCAGACCATGTCCAGAACGGTCAGCCGGAGCTACTCGGTTCCCGAGAGGGTGCGATCTCGTACCAATTCGGGGTCGTGTTCGATAATGAGACGTCCATAGCCCAAGCAGAAAAAGGTGCACCCCAGAAGGACTTAAGAGTCAAGCCTAATTACTTTGGAGCTCTATCGGAGAAAGCAATAACTTACTCGCAACCTATCGTTCCAATCAGGCCAGAGCAAGAGGTTCTGGAGTCTAACACTAAGCTTGATATCCCGGGATGTCGAGTCAAATTGGTCGCCTCATAGAGTGAAAGGGGCCCAAATGCCACCTATGTATAGCTACTGATATGATACAAAAGTGAGAAATACAATTGTAACCGTAGACTCTATCTACAGCAGCTGGGTAGATTTCCATCAATGCATCAATGCAGCTAGTATACCTCCGATGAGCGGTGCCAAGCCCCAGATCACGTGGCAGCACATGCGGTCCGTCAGCCTCCCCGAAGAGCAACGACTCCAGCAACACGGTGTTCGCCTCAACTCCCATCAACAACCGAAGCCTTCACATCACCGCAACTGTTGTCTACGCGGCGCTCCCCTGTGTGGACTGCTTCTTATAACCTTCTTTGTACTTTTCTTAACCAATCCTTCTCCTTGAGAACCGTCTAGTCTTTGAAAATGGCCACAGAACTTTGGTACGTAATCTCCTAGCTTGACTCCTATCTCGGTCATTCGGTCGCTCTGCCGTATGGTCCTCCGATAATACAGCGTGCAAAGTAGTCATTTGTCCTTGGTGCTAACGTTATAGCCGTATAGTCCCGTCTATGCGGTGAGTATCTCCACAGTCTGTCGATGCCGGCCATACTAGAGCTCCAGCTAGCTACGGAACCGCTTAGCCAGCTTCCCTAGTGCTTGACCTACTGTGTTGCCCACTGAAGAAAGCATGACTGATTCCTCTTTACCGAAATAGCCCTTCTTCGGTGCCCTTGGTTGCACCTCGGCCATCGTTTTCACCTGCTTCGGTGCCGCCTATGGAACCGCTAAGGCCGGTGTCGGTGTCTGTGGAATGGCTGTCCTCAGACCCGATCTGATCGTCAAGAGTACGTTCGAGGCCGCGATGAGCTATCCCGATAGCACTGCCTACCTGTAAACGTCTAGGATTCTGACTGTTCATAATTATAGACATTGTCCCCATTGTCATGGCGGGTATCATCGGTATCTACGGTCTGGTCGTGTCCGTCCTGATCGCGAACGACCTGGCACAGACAGTTCCTCTATACACCGGATTCATTCAGCTGGGAGCAGGTCTCGCTGTCGGTCTTGCTGGTCTGGCAGCTGGGTATGTCTCATTCCTGCGCGATCGGACACAATCTACTTCTACGAGACCTATGAACTGATATCATGGTGTATAGTTTTGCTATCGGTATTGTCGGTGACGCAGGTGTCCGCGGAACAGCCCAACAACCCAGGCTCTATGTCGGCATGATTCTTATTCTCATTTTCGCTGAAGTTTTGGGTGAGTTTTTACCTCTTGAATCCAGTCCCTGGTATTTTGTTCCAATTTGTTAATGATCGTCGCTCCATACAACAGGTCTTTACGGTCTCATCGTTGCCCTTCTCATGAACTCGCGTGCCAAGATCGATGCCAAGTGCTAAGTCATATTTGACAATCATTGTGCGAGGACCTCCAATTAATCCTCTTCGCACACAGAGTATATTGGTTTAGATTGGTTAATGTGACATGGTGAACGCCTTGCTTTCCTGGTAGCGAACGTTTTTCATATTGTCACGAGAGCCAAGATAAACAGCAGCTGAACGGGGCGAGGAACTTTGGCTTATCTTTCAACTGTCAAGAGTTATGGTGCTTACATACAGGCCGAGGCTGTATGGTAGGATGAGTGGGTCGTCGTGGTAGATACAATGCATGGCTGAAGCCTTGCGCTGTACCTGTACTTTATTGGAGTCGCTGTGGTCCTGGACTGGATCATTTACATTGCAATGCTGACATGCTGTTTATGCGGTTATTTGCTGTTTGTGTTCAAGCTACTACTTGCTTTCAAGATTCGATTCGGGATGTTATCTGTTATTTGGAATCAAAAGACCTCATACTATTATAGTGGTGCATTTCAACCGTGCGGCTGATATAGTAAATATCTATTGCTTGAAGAAATAGTATTTTGCCATGTATTCCGTTTGGACCATTATTTTACAAACTTGCTACTCACATACTTTCTCATGCTGTAATCCTTGTGTAACCGTTAAACTGATTTACATTGTATCTAGTAGTACAGGGCCCAATATGAGCTTTGCGTCGAGAAATCACATTAAAAATACAGAGCTATATGTCCATCTTCAACGATCAAACAAAGTGATATAAGAATAGCTATGTAAATGATACTGTCTATAGAATGGACAATGCGTAAGAAACGTGTAATATTCAAAGCAAATGAATATACCGTGGGAACCATGAGGACGGGCACAAACAAAGCACCTAGGGAATCACCAACCGGTTCAAGTCCGGCAAGATGGTAATGTACAACTCCAAAGTGCCATGAGACTTGAGGAAGATGATCGGAAGGGGACAGTGCACGAGGAAGGAGGCGGTAATAGGGAGACCCCGATTAAGCCTTGTCAAGCTTGCGACGCAAGGTTCTCGTCTTCCGCAAAAGCTTCTTGTACTTGTGCTTCTTCATCTTCAGCTTACGCCGTCTCTTGGTGCTGATCGCTTGCATGGTACGGTTGTTGCGCAGACGCTCAATGTAGGTGGTTCCGGGCTGAGACGGTACGTCGATGATAGCCTCATTCTCGCCAGCGCCAGGAGCGTCCATATCCGGTGTGCGGACGAAAGGACCCGTGTGGGCTTCATACGTCTTGCGACCATCCGCATGTGTTGACTCGTGGATGGTCAAAACGGTGGAGTAACTAGTTTCGCGGGGAGAAAAGTTTTCCGACTCCACGGCACCGGCATCTTTCGCTTCGTCGAAGGGAACCGGTGGCGGCGGGGGGTGGAATGGACGAAGTCGCCTTGTAAGCTCCTCCACGGAAACCTTCAGCTCCGCCATGTTCATTCCGTCGAGCTGGTTACCCTCCATGTCGAAGTGGTTCAGAGAGCCTTCTTGTTCGCCCAAGTGATAGGCAGGGTTCTCCATGGAGTTGACGGTGGAGGATAGAGTAAGAATCACATCATCCGAATCATGTTTCGTGGATTTCTTGGCGGTGAATATGGCATCAAAAGCTTCAGGGCTAGAAGGAGGAGGAACAGTGGTCGAAACGGAGATAGGTCGGTGGATAGAAAAGAATGAAGCTACGTGAACGTCTGCTCCGCAAGGGGGGAAAAGTTAGTCAAAAGACAATCTAAGAACCTTGTCCGCCTCCTTGGTGCCACTTCTACTCACCATGGGGTTGAAGGTGTTGGGTGGAGGGAACGCTAGGCAGTCTCGAGAAGACCGTATGCTGGTTCGACTTGGAACCGTTGCGGCCACTGCTATCTTTTCCCCTTCGTCTGGAAGCCTTACCCTCGCGCTTTTCGCTTGCATTCACGCCCTTGGCAGGGGTCTGAGAAGAAGCGTCGACTTTTCTGGAACCGTCGCTGGGCTTCGAAGAAGAAGATGAGGAGTAACGGCGCTGACGGACATGCTGTGCCGCGCCTAAGAGGGTATTAGAGGAAGCTGGAAGAGCTTGGCTGGACGAGCGAGCGATGCCGGTGATAGGAGCAATAGGAGCCCATGCAGCTCGGCGTAACGAAGATGACAGCATTTTCCGACGTCGAATAGCCCAGAAACTGGGTGACGAGTATGTCGGGAACAACGCCGGTTAGAAGTCGTCTGAGGCGAATTCGAAGTTGAGCCGATCAGGCGGAAGCCCAATCCGGTAAAGCTCTGTCCGCATTAGACACCTGAGGCATCAGCACCCAGTCGATCAGGTGATCTACCGATCATTCCACCTCTTCGTCCGTTTACTTATACGAGACGTAATAATGTCGGGGATGATGGGTTGACAAAGCCTCGGTTTCCAAAGGTAGAACATGTACCCCTCAACATGGTATCAGACCGGGGATTGATACGCGTTGAGATACCGTGGAAGGCATTGCTTCGTCTTACGCAGCCTGATTAACAATACGAATTATATTGCTTATAGTCCGAATACTAATTCCACACAACCTCCTTTCAATCAGAATAAGCGAAAGTAATTACCACCGAGAGAGGGAAAATTTCATGTTTACACACCCGCACTTCAACCAGGAATAGGTTACTTTTTCCCCAACGTACAAGTCCCAATAAACACCAGGAAGCCAGGAATCCTCACCCATAGACACTTCAGCCCAGACCGGATTGTCAATATTCGTAAGATTGGGACTAGATATTATGAAAACAAGGAGCCGAAGCCTTCGCCACAGTGTATTACAGCACAAATGGGACAAATATGGTAAGTAGCCATGGAAACCGCCAGACTTGATGAATGGCAGGAGAAGAGAAAATAAAAGAATAGAATGGTATCAATCTGCATGGTGTAGAAAGAAAGAGACTCGTCGCTGAACCGAACAAAATGAAGCACCATGTAGTAGTGTAAGCTTTTCATGCAGGATAGCATAGTAGAACTGTAGCACAGAATCGACCGAGAACGCTTTCTCGATGCATGTATAACGAAAAGGAAAGAAAAGGGGAATAAGCAAGAAGAGAATAATACAAGGCTAAGGAGAGGGCCAAGGTGTCGTAGAAAGGTAAAACGCTCGGAAAATGCAACGTGAAAGGCTGAGTGAATAGAATAGACTCAGGCTCGCGGGAAGTCATCGTGGAAGCCAATCGTCTCTGATGAAACATTAATTATCATAAGATAAGAGTGTGCAGGTTCTTCTGGATGATCATGTCTTGCACAGAATCCATGGTTGCTTTCAGCAATGTTGTATCAGTCGCATTGGTGTAATGGATGTAGATCTCTCGATCGGGAATGCGATTGATGCCGCGGAACCTGTCAGCGAAATATCTTGCCGCAGCATCAAAGTCCGTGTTTGAACCGTTGAAATCCGGAAAGTGTTTGGACACGGGGGAGACACTTAGTTTGCCCTTAAAGAGATCGATCTTGTTCAGGAAAAGAATGATGGGCTTGCGCTTGAACCATTCTCCGTTTACCAATGACTCGAACAGCATCATGGCCTCGTGCATTTGGTTCTGTTAACAAGAAAATGGCGTTAGATATGTGTCAAATCCAGAAGGGGGTGCAAAGGTTCTTACAGCGTTCTGGTCCTCCACTAAGCACTGGTCATAGCCTGATAAGGCGACCATGAAGAGAAGACACTGCACACCCTCAAAACAATGGATCCACTTCTTGCGCTCAGATCGTTGGCCACCAACATCCATCATTCGGAAGTTCATTTGGCCAAGTTCAAATAGAGTTTCCGTAATTCCTGTGGTTCGCAAACGCGCTTGCAGCATGTCCTGATTGTCGGGAAGCCAGCCAGGCGCGAATATCCGGTCAAGTGAATCAAAGAAGCTATAAGAAGGTCAATAGCCGTCTGTTTGATCGGCACGCAATCGGCACTCACTAATGCAGATTATCGTGAAGAGCAAATTCATGCCCTCTAGCAACGGCCTTTTGCACTCCTGCATCATTCCACATATCTCTCATGGCATCGCGAACCTTGAGATCGGAGAATGCTTCTTCTGAGCCGACGTCAGACTCCAGAGTATCCATATACTCCGCAAGCGGCTGTAGAATGGTATCAAAGATCAGTCGATGTTTCAAACAGGAGGAAAATAGGGAGAAGTGTGGAGCAATGGCTGACTGCCAATTCTTATTTACCTTGGTCTTCTCTTGCTCAAACTCGATGCTTTCCGTGCGCATAATATCTAGCAAAACCTTGAATGCAATGACAACATTGGAATAGATTACTGCACGCGTTTGACGGCGCTCATCCTCAGGAAACCCCCCAGAATGAATGATGCGCATTTGCTTTATGATTGTTGATTTTCCTGATTCGCCAGCACCTAAATATCTGTGAATACATATGACCAAGGGAAATTTGTTTGGAGGCTTACCGAGAAGGAGGATTTTGATGGTCCTATCCATCACCTTTTTGTCATTTTTTAGAACCTTGTCTATCCGAGCATTTCGTTGTAAAGCGTCCTTATCCGTTGTGTCAACGGGCTTTGAGCTCATACAACCCATGTTGTCTATGAGTTTCTCTCACTTATAGGAAAACCTGTTCACGACCCATGAAGGTGCCAATTAGTTTAAGAACTCCGACGTTGGTGCACACCTGGGAGGGGAACGAGCGAAGTCCAATGGCAGCAGGTGAATCAGGGGACACGCCTGAAAAATGCTCATGGCCACTCAAAAGGTGGTCTTTAAGACATGCGACGACCACCAAGACAGAATACGAGTGGGCAGGCTATCTTCGCTGGGAGAGCAACTAACCGATTTGTTGTAGCTATAGTATTATTTTAGGAGGTGGAATTAAATAGCGAAACAAATGCAAAAAAGAAAACACGGGTGTGCCTCTTTTTTGCGACCAAATGGCGAAAGTCAAGAACTCCAGCTGAAACAGTTACTCGAGAGGTGGATTTCTGGCGTTCCGTTCGTACGACACAGCACGCTAATGTCACGGTAGAAACCTGAATAGAGCTGCTGGTTGAAGTCCAGGCGATTGTGGGACTGTTCGACAAATGCGACAATGTTGAAAATCACACCCCAGACTATCCGACAGCAGTTCACCCCGGATGTATTAGAGACAGAGAATCTCAAAGGCAACACAGCTACCCAATGACAGGAACGACCAACTCCAAGCGCAAAATCGAAAAAATTATGGAATATAGCAGGGTTCTGCGAATTGTTGCCACTAGAAAGTTCAGTCCCGTTCAGTCCCAGTTAAAACCAAGTTTGGATGGCAAAGCGGAGGGATCTCAATTTTGGAGGTTTGCGAAGGTATGAGTTGAGTTACGAGCTCATGCGACGTCTGCCGAAGCCAATGAGGGACGTCAAAAAGCGCAAAGGAATGTTCTCTTCAGCAGTGGGTGATCGACCGCTCTCAAAGCGGGATTTTGATTGCGTCAGCGACTCTTAAAGGCGTTGGGATAAGATGAGGACGTTAGCAGCAGTCGGTAAGCGGCGACGACGAAG